TTCAACTTCAATTCTTCAATCTGGTCATCAGTCAGTCCTTGCATGTTAGGAGGGAGAAATACGCCATGTTCTGCTAATTCTTCCATTTCTTAAAAAGAAGGGAAAGTTAGACAATTAGGTATGATAATCACCACCATAACACCTTACACCCCACTGGAATGGAAGCTCCCAGGAGTCAGGGGTCCTGTCCATCGGCTCCCTATTTTATTGACCAAACACTTATACACCACTTGCTATGTGCCAGATCTGTCCTGGTCCCTGGAAAAGAGTCACCAATTCATCCTCAGTCAACAGAAGCACAGAGAACTTAGGAACTTGCCCCCTGTTCCGGTCAGTCTGGCTATAAATTCCGTGCTCTAATCCTTCATCCTATGTTGTACTTCCTGGAGTTCAGGAGGTACAAGATCAACACTCACTGAAAGCCTGAACACATATTCATACTGGGTTTTACAGTTTTCCAAGTGTTCCCTTAGATGATCTCATTTAATTTAACCTTGTATGGCAGACAGGACAGTTACTAATACCTCCATCTTCCTTAATTTACAGCTGTATATTCTAAGGCTTGCTCAGTTGACACAGCTAATACTTTATATGAAAACTTCACAAATAATTTATATAAATCAATGGGGAGGATTTAAGGCAGCTCCCAGCCCTTGCAAGTAGGAGACAGGACAGGGCTTTGATTTTCCAGTATCATATTCACTACTCAAATGCATGGCTTTGCATTTTTCCTAATCCATATATATTTACCCAAAAACCAATCCACATTTTAATCTTGCCTGCCTTCCTTTCTCCCTTCCTCTTTCCCTACCTCCCTTCCTTCCCGTGAAGGAGGCCCATGAATCTAAGTGATCCCATAACACTGGGCGAAGATATCATGCGACCTGTAACATACAATACTGTAGAACAAACGGTGTAACTGAATGGGATGTTTATTGTCTGTCTTCTCACCACAATCTAAGCAAGTGGGGGGCAAGGGGCTGATCTTACTCCTATTGTCTTCCCAAGGCTGAGCACTGGTGCTGGAGTCACAGCTGACACTGCCAACTATAAAATACATCAATGGATTCTAAGTTCACTAACAAGACTCTTAACAGTTGGCACATTTCCAATCTATAATGTTATCGAAAAAGAAGCTGAGTTTCTTTTCTCCTCAAATGCTTTAAGTTTTAAACAACTTTTCTTCTTCTTCTTCCTTTTTTTAAATAGAGGTGAGGTCTAGCTATTATGTTGCCCAGGCTGGGCTCCAACTCCTGGGCTCAAGTGATTATTGAGCCTGCCCAGTAGCTGGGACTATAGGTACACTCATTACACCCAGCTTAGAAAAACATTTAATATTGAGTTTGTTTTGCAAGCACAGTTAAACCATCTACATGCTCCATGAAGAGGCCATGACCCTTAAGTTCTCCATGTTTGGTGCAAAAATCACATATTTATGTAACTTAATCACATAAGGAATATATCATTTATTATATATATTTATAAAATTTATATATTTAATGTATCTGTGCGTACATATATAAACACTCAATAACTTCCCAGATGACACGTGGAGTACCATCAGGTCAAGTTTGAGAGCTGTGCTAATTCAGAAGGTACTAACTGCACTAATTAAATCAATTCAAATAACATAAAATTTTGAAATTCCATTGCTTGGTCGCAGTAGCCACATTTCGAATGCTCAGCAGCCACAGGTGGCTAGTGGATACCTATTGGACATCACGAACAGGGACTGGACAGCGGTGCTCTGGCGAGGATGAAAGAAGGGCGACTGCAGCCTCGTAACCAGAGAAACAGGCTCGCGTCTTCAGCAGTGGGGAAAGGAACTCCAAGGCTTTCTCCCTGTTTTCTCGCCTTTGAAGGGCAGTTCCAAAGCGGAAACTGCTTCATCTCGGAAGCCTTTAAAAGGCGAATAGGGAATTCGCCCTTTAAAAACCCACCCAGTTCTCATCCCACCACTCACGCTTGTTCAAGTGCACCGCGTCTGCTCTCCAGCCCGGTCTTTCGGCTCCCTACTGGGGCCTCTTCTCCCTCACTCACAGCACCCCAAATCCTGGCTCCGAGACACATTTGGGCACACTTGGCCTCGCCCGCTGCCCACCTCCTCCGAGCCAGGAGTGCCAGACCGACCCTACTTTCTCTGGTTCTTTATTCATCTCCGCTTAACCCCGGTGTCCCATCTCAACCTGGGCTGCTGCCAGTCTTTCTCAACCTTCACAAACCTGACCCCTCGCCCTAGCCTGCCTATCTTCCTCCATCCCAGAGCGCCCCGTTTCTCCATCCCTCCCGGGCCCGCCCGAGGCGCCCGCCGGGTCGCACCTGAGCAGAGGCGCTGCACTTTGAGCCGCCCGTTGTAGACGCGGGCCACCTGCACCGAGAGCTCCTCCAGCTCGGTGTTCCCAGGCGCCTGCAGCAGGAACTGGCTCTCGTCGCCTCGCTTCACGTGCAGCAGAACCATGGTGGCCCGGCTGAGGCGCTGGAGCTGCGAGAAAACCCCGGGATGCGCGGCCCGCGGGCCCGGCCGGCCGAGGTCAGCCGGAGGGGCGAACGGCGGCGACGCACTAACCGCCGCGTAGAGGCCGGAACCTCGGGGCTCGGGCGCCCGCGGTGCGGGTGGGCAGTCGGTGGTCCCTTCCGGAAATGGTTGTTGCCAGCAGCAACGATTAAACACAGAGTCAGAGGGGCCGCCAGCGCAAGATTCCCGAGGGTGGGGAACCTGGCGTGTGCGGAGACCCAGCAGTCCCTTCCCCTACGTAGCTGCTGCCCGGGCAACAAGCACACAGTCTGAGAGGGCGGCTGATCCCCGCGCACTGGCGGAGCTGATTCGCGGACCCCGCTCCCGGAAGTGGCTGTTGGGGCAACTCTCAAATCGACAAACTGGAGGGGAGCGCGGGTCGCCCAGTCGACTCGCCTGGGGCCCCAGATCCCAGCCAGGGAGACGGGTGGACCGAGGTGGGGACTGCTAGGTCCGGAGTGCGTGCGCTGGTGAGCACCACAGGCCCACAGTTCCACAGCAGCCCGCCCGAACCCGCCTCCTTACAGCTGCTCCAAATCCTAGCGTCATTTCCGCCTCCAGCAGTCTCCACTTCCGGGAACGCCTCGTTGCTTCCGGTCTGAAGGTGTTTGTCAGAGGCGAGCTGAGTGGGTGTTTCGTTGCTCCTCGCTGTTCTTGCTGGTCTAGTTTTCAGAACCCAGGTACCAGAGCGAGTTCCCGCACTTCTTCATAGAGGCTGGTTGGGATTGACATATGTAGGGTAGCGGCTGTTGCAAGGGCGACCCTCCCCCAAACATCCAGCCAGCCATTGTCTAACAGTTTCTTTCTGGAAGGCAATTGGGGCCAGGGGCTGTTTTTTCTCGGGGCCCCAGATCCAGAGTCACTGCTCCTATGAATCTTATATTTAAGTGTGACAAAGATAAAACAAAAATAGATGAACAAAACAAGTTCAAATGCAGGTATAAAGAAAACTAAACATGGTGATTGACTGTTTAGGTTGGATGGTCAGGGAGTGCCTTAAGGGGTGGTTAATATTTGCACTGAGTAACTGGGCGCTAGCTAAGCAAGATAGTGCAAGGCCTCTACCCATGGTTATCTTTTTGTTCTTGGTAGGGGGCAAGAATACGAAGTGATTGGACTATAACAAGCATCTGCTACTTCCTGTTGCCAAAACTTTGGAATGTTGGTCCTCTCCATTGAAACTGCATCCCAGGGAGTGTGTGTGTAACTGTAGGCCTGGAAAAGCCCAAAGCCAATCTAGGGCTCATATTGAATGACAGTGGATAGAAGGGTGATGGAGTCCAGGAAGAGGGGAAGATGGGTTATCTCTAGTACTGTTGAGGTACTGATCGCGCAGATCCTGAAACAGGCAGTGTTGGTCTGACTGGCAAATATCTCCCCAGGAAGAAGCAGTCTACTGTGTTTTTTTAGCTCCTGACTGCTGGCCATACGGTCATCCCGTTTCTCCTGAATCCAATTCTGTACTCATCAAGCCAACTTATTAAAAGGTAAAGAGAACCACTTGTCCACAAACTTATGTATTACAGGCCCTGTGGACATAATTTTTAATATGAGAACTGCAGACAACCATTGAATAAAAACCCATGTACTATCAAATTTTGTTTAAATATGTAGCTTATTAATCATCTGGTGGAAAACCACAGATTAAGCTCTTGCAGTATCTTTAAATTTGTCACCACTGGCTGAGCATCATGGCTTTTGCCTGTAATCCTAGCACTTTGGGAAGCCAGTGCAGGAAGATCACTGGGGACCAGGAGTTTAAGACCAGCCTGAGCAAGAGACCCCATCTCCACAAAAAATAGAAAAAATTAGCTGATATTAATGTCCTGGTTGTGCTATAGGACTGTAGTTTTGCAAGATGTTACCACTGGGGAAATGGATAAAGGGTACATGGGATCTCTCTGAATTATTTCTTACAACTACACATAAATCTATTACAATTATCTTAAACATTTTAAAAAGACTATTATCCTGTAACTTCTTAATCAAAGATTAATGAACACAATTCAACTATTTAAGAATCAAAGTTGTTTTGAGTATCAGTCATAGAGGTCTGAAAAAGGCAGTACTCAGAAATCACTAGCCTTGGCTTCTTAATTGGGTCTTTTTAGCCAGTCCCTTTTTTGGTCTGGCTATTTGTGTCCTAATTCCCCTTGGACCCCCCGTTTTTTCTTCTGATGTGGGTCACAAATTCAACTTTCATGCTTCATGTGTTATTTTCAAGCCAACATGATTCTGATTGAGGGCCTTTCATGGAATAACTGCATGGGCTTTCTAATGATGATTAGTAAACTCAGAAAATCTTTCTTCTAACTTTTAGAGTAAGCACTGTATGGAAAAATGAAATCTATAAAAATAAAGTCTTGAATTAAAATGCCTGATTTGGCAACACAGTTAACCTATTTTCCCCAAATGTCACTGAACTTGTGTATATAAAGTACAAGGAAAATGGCTAAGAAAAATTCTTCCCTTTTGAGCGAAGAAGTCAGCACGGTAAAGACAGGTATATTTATTTCACACGACAGCACATTTCACAGGATATGTACATGTCTGTATATCACTGACTTTAATACTGTACTTCTATAAAGTATATAGTTATAAATATTGTATGCCACATAAGCAATAAAATTCTTACATATAAACAGCAATCTACTATAGAGAACAAAGAATTCACAAAGAGATCCTTAGTGTCTAACTTCTGCTCTGCTTTTAACAGAACTGCTAAATATTTAATAATACACAGAATAATGGCTAGTTATTTGCAGCATACCTTTAACTTTCATAACTCTGTGCATTTTCAGCAACTTGCCAAATATAATTTTCCTGATAAAGGCTGAGCTGCTGCTGATATGTATACTTTAGACAGTAGTATATATTCAATAGGAAACATTGCTCACAGAACTGCAATTTGCACTAGTGAAGTTTACCTAACAACAAATTATTTTGCTAATGGAGAGCAAATACTGTATACACTAGTCACATAGATGTTAAAGCCACGATTTCAACAAGTTAATTCACATTTTGAAGCATACTGCTTATAGTAATACTGCTGTTTAAAAGATACTACTGCTGAAATGATTAGAACCTCCAAAAAGCACAATATAAAACTCACAGGAGTTATTTCTAACAGCAAATACTGGCTGTTAACAGAGAGGATTACTTCTATAAATATAGTATTTTGATAACATTTGAGCTTTTAGAAAAGTGTTTTCCTAATATATTTGCTTTATGTTAGTGCAATGCAGTTTGCTGTGCTTTTACCTTTTACTTACTCTTAGCCATGAACTCTATTTTTTGATATTTCCTCAATGCACATCTTTAAAGGTTAAATGTGGACATAGGAATTTAGGTGGAAATATACAACTCTTTATATAAAAGGAACATTAATGTAAGTCTTCATGGGTATAGATGTTTTTAACTTAAACTGACAAAACAACTATTGCTCAAGTTGTTTTCTGATTGGTTTACTTAATGATATCAAAATACTACATTCTGTAAAAATTCTGTGTACTTCTTCATAAAATTAATAAAAGCAGGATCAGTTGCATATTGGCAGTGCAGGAGACAAAATCCACAGCTAATTTGAGGTATAGCCTCTAAAAACTTAAAGCAGCATCATAGATGTGTTTATGTAGCCTCCTAAGGGGGAGAGAACACGCACTGGGTATATCCTCAATTCAAAGCACTCTGAAGATGGCTGCTTTCCCTGCTAAAAGCAAGGATCCAAAGCAAAAGCAGCAAAAAGAAAAGTGTGGGAGGGAAACGGCCACCATGTACCTGAATGTACACAGAGAAACGAGTACAATTAGCTCTAATATTTCTCACTTAACTTGGTGGTCTGTGCCTTCCTTGCATATAAGGCTTTAGTGCTTTTTGGAGAGGGCTAGAATATCCATCCATATGATAATGACCACAAAATATGCTGCTTCCAGCATATTTTGAACCTCCTCCCAGAGAAAAGCACATGGAGGTGCTAGAGTGGAAAGTAACAAGATTGTGTGTATCTGAAGGGTGTGCAAGGGTAGAAAATGCCAGTTATGTAGTGAAATTATTCTTGTTGGAAATAAAATTAATGAAGTGTTCAAATTACATTTGCAGCCATCTGTTGGTAAGAAGATATTGAAAAGAGGACTTTGTTAGAACTTTTAGGTAAAATTTGGTCTGACTGATATCCTAGAACTTAAATTATGAGTTTTATAAACATGTAAATGTGTATATATGTATATGCATACATACACACATACTTTTGAATAAAGCAATGCCTTTCAAAACTGTTTCACTATAACTTTGGCAGCTCTTTGGTAAATACTCATAAATACCAATTGTTAACAAGTACGAAAGGACTGACGGTAATGTCAGCTAAAAGTTGCATGGGCTTTTTGAGATTCTTCAGAGAAGACTGACAAAAAATTTCTGAATAAGGACTATTTGCTAAAATAGTTTTAAACACTTTTTATGGCTACTACTGTCTCCTATTCATCTGAAGAGAAACACACCAAAACTCCAGTTAATAATGAGGATTTTTCCTTATTTCTGATATACACATATTCCAACTCTGTATACATCAAATAGTGGTATTTCATGAAGATATCAGTGCACTTAACAATTACATATTATTGCACATAATGAATAACTAATGCCCAATTCTTTTGGCTCTACCCTGCCAAAACTATAAAAACAAAACAAAACAAAAAAACCAACTGTTTTCTATCATATGACATTATCTTTCTGTAAAGTCTAGCGTGGGTGATGCCTTAGATGCCAAGGTTGTGAAAGGATCTACTGGAGGGCTAGTGCCAGGTGGGAGCACAGGGACAGGAGGTGGAGGTGGTCTTCTTGATGGCAACACACAGAAAGAAACATTTGTATCTTTATTCCAGTCATCATCCAATGTCACGTTGGAGCCAGAAAATGAACGTGGTTGATTAGCCAGTAAGTCTGGACAAGCTGACTTTGATTTCCCTTTCATACCAAAGTCCTCTTCTTCCTCGAAGGTTACCCATCCTTTTGGGTTGCTAATTTTTACTGTAGACTGGCCCTGCAGATCAAAACTGTCCTTAAAGTCATCAAGTGACGATGCAGGCTTGCTTTTATTATGACGAAGAGGCTTCAGAGAAGGGAAAGGACTGTTCGTAACAGGCTCTTCTTTGGAGAACCATGAAGTTGCCTCTAATTCTTGAGATTCAGTTCTAAATGGGTTTCCAGGAGTAGCAGTCCTGTCACTGAAAGGATCAGTGCTGGTCAAGCTGGTAATAAATGGGTTTGAAGAACTTCGCATATTTTCCTGGGATTTACTCCGAGCTGGAATTGGAGGCATTGTTGGCATGCAGCTTACAGAACTCAAAGTATTAACATTACTTTGTGTTGCAGAAGGCAACTGAATCAACCTCTTTGGGTTTGGGGTTAAAACAGGTGACATTTGAACAGATAGCTGAGCCTTTGATACAGCAAGCAGATTAAGTGATAGATCTTCAAATGGGTCACCCTTTAATGCTGATTCTCCTTTGACACCGGAGACTCCATTTGTTTTTACCTGGAAAACAAAACAGAGAATACTGAATAATCAGTTTATATTTACTCTTAATACTCCCTATCCTTCCTGTCTCAATTATTCTTCTTTTGAGGGGAGCAAGTACACAAATTTAGAAACTAAAAAGCAGTTTTTGTGTAGTTTATTACTCTGGAAGTTTAAGTAAAAATGAAATGAAACAACTAAAATCTTTTTCTTTAAAAACTTCTTACTAAATAAATCCTTTTCTTAAATCTATTTTTTAGATTTAGATTAGATCCCTAAGAAATTAGAGTTTATTTCATTCAAGCAAATTTTGAAAGGGTAAGAAAGAGAACTCTACAGAATTAACATATTTGTTCATGTCTAGTTCTATCAAATTTTAACATGAACTTAAGACCATATTTAGAACTTATGCTAAATCTATATAAACTTCCAACACCCAAGTATGATGATGATGTGGTTTCATTGTTCTTTTAAATATATTTTCACTTAATGTTACTATGGAAATGCAACTTTATAGATAAAAAATTAATTTTATTAGTACATTTGTATTCATAAACTGAAGAATCTTTCCCTTTTCTACTTGGAAAAATGAAGTTTTAGAGTTCTTTGCCCACCTTTTTTGAGACAGAGTCTTCCTCTGTCACCCTGGGTAGAGTGCAGTGGCATCATCATAGCTTGCTGCAACTTCCAACTCCTGAGCTCAAGTGATTCTCCTGCTTCAGCCTCCTGAGTAGCTGGGACTAAGGCCTCTGCCACCATACCCAGTTAAATTTCTCTACTTTTATTAGAGATGAGGTCTCACTCCTGCTCAGGCTGGTCTCAAACTCCTGAGCTCAGGCAATCCTCCTACCTCGGCCTCCCAGAGTGCTAAGATTACAGGCATGAGCCACAGTACCCAGCCTAGTTCTTTGCCTTTTAAGTTCTCCTTTATGGAATAAACAACTCTGAATAATGTGACAACTTTTCTTAACTGACCTTCCTCATCTTGTGAAAAATGTTCCAAAATATACATGCTATTAATAACCAAAGATAACAATTGCTTAGGCTGGGTGCGGTGGCTCACGCTTGTAATCCTAGCACTCTGGGAGGCCGAGGTGGGAGAATCACCTAAGGCCAGGAGTTGAAGACTAGCCTGGGCAACAGAGTGAAACCCCAGTCTCTACAAAAAAAAATAATTTAAAAATTTGGCCAGGTACAGTGGTGCAGCATGCTTATAGTTCTAGCTGTTTGGGAGGCTTGGGGGCAGGAGGTTCACTTGATCCCAGGAGTTCCAGCCTAAACTGAGCCATGATCACACCACTGAGTGCCTGCCTAGGTGGCAGAGCGAGACCCTGTCTCTTAAAAAAAAAAAAATTATAATTAACTCTATATTATCAATATTAACTCTATATTATCTTTGGATTAACTCTATATTATCTTTGGATTATTTATGAATAAGATAAATGGAAATATTTGATTGGGTCTGGGACCAAATTCTCCTATGGCAGATAAAACAGTCCACAACAAACACATTATATAGGAAAGGAGAATTTTATGTTCTGCACAGCTTAGAATAGTAGGCACCTGGTCAAGTAAATGCTATACATTTAAATATCTTTATTTTCATACATAAGAACAATTTTTATTTCAAAATAAGTTAATGTGATAGAAGCAGCATCATTTTTCCCAATCAGACTTGAAATTACAATGAAAGCCACATCACCATTTATTACATTAGAATTGATTTGTAATCTAAGCAGGACTTGTCATGACAACATTAAAATTGGTGGTATTTTCACAGAGAAAGGTGTTGGAAGGACCTTTAAATAATCTTGTTATAATATTAATTTATATCTTTCTAAACCATCAATTCTTCCTTACCAAACAGAATCCTGCTATTAAAACTATTTAAAAAATATTTCCCAAAAGAAAACTAAAAAAAAAAATTAATTTTGTGTTTATGTAATTATGCCATTATTAAAACCAAGAACCAATTTGGTTTTGCCAAATAGGCTTTCATATTACCTAAAGCTTACCTTTTGAAGTTATACTTTTTAGTTTTGTTAATTTTCATAAAAAATGAAGCAAAATATGGTAAAGCATTAGCAAGAACAACTAAAATGTTTCCTAAAATCCAAAATACTAAAAAGAAAAAGAAAAAGCAGGTTTTATGGTATGATAATAGAATTTATTAATGTGGATATGTGGTTTTAAAAATGGGTGAGACTTTAGATGTATGAAGCAAAAGCTTCATACATCTAATATGCTAAGACAGATGAAAAGCACATGTAAGATTGATAAATAATCAGATACCTGTTACCCTGATGGTTGCTCCTGCTTTGAGAAAGGAAACACAGACATCAAAGGAAAGAGTTAGGAGGACAATCCGAGATTAACCAGAAACCCTAACAATTCAGTCAACAAAATACTTTTAGTTCTACATTACATACAGAATCCAAGAGCAGCAATACTTCCGGGTTGTAGCTTAAGTTCAAAAGACAATTCCAATTCTTTTTATAGTTCTGTTGAATTAAGGTCCAAACTTATGAATGTTTGTGTCCTCCTCAAAAATTCATATGTTGAAGCTTAGCTAAGCCCCAGTGTTATGGTATTTGGAGGTGGGGCCATTAGGAGGCTATTAGGGTCAGATGAGGTCATAAGGGTGGGTTCACCATTATGGGATTAGTGCCTTTATGAGAAAAGATACCAGGGAATGTGCACGGGGGTGCATACATGTGCTCCCTCCAGGCACATGCACTGAGGAATGACCACATGAGCACACAGTGAGAAGGTGGCTGTCAGCAAGCCAAGAAGACAGCCCTCACCAGAACTCAACCATGCTGGCACCCTGATCTCGGACTTCCAGCCTCCATTTACTGGAGGGTACAACAGCCCTGGACATCTAAGTATAAACCTGTTTCTACTCTCTTATCCAGTGTCAGAGTTGATGCACAGGACTTTGAGAGCATCAAGACAGTGTCCAGTAAATGGATCTAGAATGCTGAGATTTTCTACCTGGTCTCTTCCCTCACCATCAACTATCATGTCAATACGATGGCACTGAGTTGTCTTACTTTACTTCCTGTTGGATTTCCCTACTTCTGGTTCTTAGCTGATAACCAGATAACTAAGATGCTGGAAGCCAGACAGGTAAGTCAGGCATTTTTCTACTTTGTAAAGGATATATGATATGTTATACAATCATTCAAATTAAAATAATCTTTTCTATATAGAATTATAAAGAACATTTAAATAATAAAAAGTAAATCTGGGTCATGTATGTTTGTAAGTGTTAAATGCCTTATAGATTTGGGACAAGATTAATAAAGACTTGTAAAAATGACTGTGCAATTCTAAAACTATTTCATGTCATTACCAAAATATCAGATTTGTCATATTTAAAAATCTCACCCTTGTCAGGTTTGAAAATCTTGTATATTTTTCAATTTATAGCTACTTCAGAGAATTTAAAATTTATTTTCTGAATAGGTATTATTCTTATGGTTCAAAAGTCAAAAGGTACAAAAAGGTAAAAAGCTTCCTCCTCACCTCCCACCTGGCCCTGGCCCCCTAGGATTGTGCATTCCCTGCAGGAAACTGTAACCACTTTGTGATCTTTCACAAAGACAATCTACACAGAAACAAGACCCCCTCCCTCCAAAAAAGAAAGGGTGTCTGTGTATATAACGTTCAGTGGAGTTTGATATCAATGACTGAGGCAAGAAGAAATTTTAGAATTTAAAACAAACATCTTTGTCTTTTTGATGAACTTTGACAAGATTTAAGAACACAAGCTACCAGGCCACACACAGAGCACATGCTGTGGCCAGCAAATCACTATACTCATTTCAATGAAAAACAGAAATCAAAACAATTGAAAATCATCTCAGAAAATGCCGTTTGGCAATCATTGACATATTCATACTGTAGTACTGTTTGTCATAAGAGGACTTTATGACAACTGCAACCTTACTTAATAACAGTTTGCTCTTCCTGAAGTTTTTCAGAGAATCTACATTCATATTCTTAAACCATTATAGAGTTTTATGAATTATGATATACTTCTAATATAAAATGGATGTCCTAAAATAGCAATAAAAAGCTTGAAGTGGCTAGTTTGAAAGTTTTTTCGCCTCCAATTACATTTTAAAAAATAAAATACACTACAAGAAAATGAGAAGAAAAATCCATGATTCACTAAAAGCAGATTGGCAGAGAGAAAAGAATAGTGGACATTTACTCTTGAAAAATTTCTACCACTATAAAATATCTTCATCATCCTCAATTTTCTGAACTGAAAAAATGTAGAATACTTTTTGATATTAATCAGCTTAAGAGAACATTTTATTTTTCTCTATTATATATCCTTCAGCTTTTATAAATGTGACTAATAATCTAATGAGTGCTGATTGCTAACAATATTCAGATTGTATTAAGAGTCATATTTACTTTAATATTTGTTTTCACCATGTAGAAACATAAAGAAACTGTTAACTGCTGCCAGCTATGCAGACATACCCATATATCTGTAAAAATAAATGCAAATTATTACTTAATAAGTAAGCTTAAGGGACATTGCCAATATGTAGTATTTCTGTATTTTAGACCTTTCTGAAGTTTAAAATCAGACTTTAAAAACTTTACACATTTCTTTGGCCTTGATGGCATTTTCAAGTTAAGACTTCATATATGGTTAGACAACAAAAAATGTACTTACTAAATTTCACTTTCATTTTAACAATTTTCCTGAAATGTACATAATAAAAGTAAAACAGCTCCAAATAAAAATAAAACAATTAATGTACATGACCATTCTTCTATTAAAATAACTTCGTATATATACACCAAAAATCTTTCCAATTTGAGGTAACAGAGCCTCCATGAAAGTATGATTTCAGTACACCAATGCAATGGCACTGTTTTCTGTGAGACACTAATGAGGTGACTTATTATTTTGATGGTTTTTACTATGGTGAATAAGCCTACTGCTATAAGCCCAAATCATCTAAACCTATCCAATAACAACTACAACTGTTCGAAATACATATGGAACCCCAGTGCCAGCTCCAATGCAGAAAAGACCTACTGCCTGCATCAAAAAGAACTACAGGATATTCTCTGTTTATTGGAAAATAACCACAATGCCAATGGTCCAGGGACTGATCTGATCTGCCTCTTTCTAGGAAGTGAAAGCCAAAACTAATTATTGTGAATGATATAAAAAATAAATTAAATCTTGTTCATCCTAATTTATTAACTATCTAAAGATATCTATATCTATATCTATCTATATCTATCTATATCTATATATGTGTGTATATATATATATATATATGTCACAAACTTTTAACATTAACATGAGAAAATGGCCTGGGACTTGAAAATGACCTATAGAACCCTGGTCCAGGATCATTCTCTGAAAATTTCTGATCTAAGCAACAGGTTTTAAAAAACCACACAAAACCCTCAAATAGTTACTAATAGCATGCATTTGTTATGTGACTAGTTTGAGATGTCAAATGAGATTCATTTGTTGAAGTCATATCTCAAGATGCTACTTATATCAGAAGAAAAAAAGAAAATTAAAGCTCACATTGATTTCTTATAATAGCTAATAATTAAAATAAGTATGTTCAAAGACTACACCATACGCATCAAAGATAATATTTTGCATAATAGTGAGACTTACTTGCGGCTGTGATGGAGCTTCTGAAGGCAAGCTATGAGATGACCTGCTCCGAGGCGGTGGTTGTGGTGGGGTTTCCAAATTTGGCTGCAGGCCAGACTGAGGCATAGGTGCTGCCACAGGGACAAGAGGCTCCTGCAACCTTTGAGCAGGTGGGGGCAGAGAAGACTGCGGAGAAGGAGCAGCCTGAGGCTTCAGTGGTTCAGGAAGGAAAGCTGAGCCTAAAGAAACAATGATGTCAGATGTTAGATGTATTCTAGAAATCCATGTTTTTCCTTCTTTAGTGAAATGTTTGGAAAACATTCTAGTTGCTTTTTTCCCCCCAACAAGTAGACTAATTTCTTGTGGAATAAAGAAGGATGGATGGCCCTATTTGAATATGTCGTGGAAACTGGAAGACGACAAAAGGGAAAAGAAAAAATGAAGGTAAAATATAGAACAAAACTGGAGTGGTATTTCTAATACAGCCTACCTTTGGCTGCTTCTGAGGGCTTGCTTTGGCTTTCAGGAGTCAGTCTGCCAGCAGCTGCTCGTGCATGGCTCTGGGGGGCACTGATAACTCCAGCACGGGGCGGAATTATCTAGAGACAGGAAACATGACACTGGAGACATTTTCTTATTTTCAATAGATAAGATTCTGTGAGAATATTTGTTTTTGCATCTCATTTACTTTTCTCTAGTATTATTCCCCATCTTGTCATTTTAATTGCTCTCTATTTATAGCCATATAGTGATAAATTTTAAAACCTTTTTTGACTGTTCACTGTGTGCCAGGCAGTATGTCAATTAAGTACTGTGTGGGCATTTTCATTTCATCTTCAAAATATCCCTTAGAGGTAGGTATTATTTTATCATCGCTACTTCAGATTAAGATGAAGAAAGATACCCAGTTAGAAAATGGAGCCAAAATCCAAAGTCATGTCTGACTAACTGCAGGGCTAGGGTTCTTAACCATGTGCCATGTTGTCTTCACGGAAGACACTGGGACAATTTTAAAGCACACGAGGAGATGGAGAGATACATACATACCTGAGCAACTTCAGAAAATCTACACCCTGAGATAGATAGATTAATTAATTAATTAGAGATGGGGGTGTCACTATGTTATCAGGGCTGGACTAGAACTCCTGGGCTCAAGCAATACCTTCACCTTAGACTCTCAAGTAGCTGGGACTACCAGCATGTGCCACTGTACCCAGCTAGATTTTTTTTTAAACATAGAAGTAAAAGTTTTGAACACCTAACTCAGTATTCCAAATTAAATACATTGAAAAGCACATTGGCAAAAAATATTTTTTCTATTTTCATATGTTTGCTGAAGGCTCTAAGCCCCAATACTTATTTTAAGCAAAAGTTAATCTACATTTTTAACCTCACAAAAATCCCGACTTCCTTTCCTACCCTTACAGTGCTAAACAGAATAAAGTTCTTGTGGGAAGTGTGATAGTGGAGTCAGCAAATGGCAATTTTGCCTTTTTGAAAAAAGGACAATGGGTAATAGATATCTTTAGGTATATTCTACAGCCATTTTAATTTGGAAAGTAATATTACATATAGAAAAGTACATTCAGATTGTTAAGCAGACAGCTACAACAGAAAAGACAAACAATTTCTATCTTTATCAAAAATAGTTTCTTAAATTGTCACAGCCTTAGGTAGAGTAATAGCTCCCAGTTCCTCATTCTTCAGATATGCGTCTGTCAGCACTTCAGGCTCTACTGGACTAGCCTAAGTCACTGATTACTGATTTCTATTTCCTCTTTCTCTCTCTTTTTTTTTTTGGTTATCTGTTTTGGCCCAGAGAAAATTTTCATTTGGAAAAATAATGAAAAATGTATGTGTATAAGAGAACATATGATAAACATACAGACAACCACAGATACATAAGGTAGGGAAAAACCCTGCACTACCACCTGCTCACCTATTTTTAATACTGTTAGAACCAGTATTTAATACTGTTAGAACCAGTTTTAGTATACTGACTCTATCATAATATTTTTTCTGAAATCTCATTGAAATCCTTCTTATTGAGGGATGACTTTATATCCTCATTAATTACTCAAATAGTATGATAAAAAGCTGCCCAAATACATCACTTCCTCGTATGACATACTCTAAAATATTTATTTCATGACCATAATTATTTTAAGCAAATCACTTTTATTCAAATAAGGAAATCTGTTTAGTTACTTTCAAAGAGTATATTAAAATAATGTTAGAATTGAAAGGTACGTTAGAGACCATTAAGTGCAATTCTCTCATTTTAGAGTTGAGGAAACTGAGGTCTTAAAGGGTCACATGATCTAAGGTAACAAAAGTAACTAGTAGCAAACTGGGGGGATCTAGAACTGATACCCCTTGGCTCCCAGGCTAAGTTTTACTTACCGGTCTGGCTGCAGCGTATCCAGCAGGTCCTGGGCCTACAAGTCCTGCTTGAGGTGAAGGCTGATTGCGTCCTACAACAAAGACAGCACATCATATTTTTAAGTTAAAGATAAAAAGTGAAAAGAATCAAGAAACCATGTACTTATGTTCCAAGTGTTTCATGGTCCAGTTTTAAGAGTAAAGTAGCTACATTTAGGTCTTTTTACCTATATCTTTCCGTGTTGTTCCAGGGCTTTTGGGTGCTTTGAAGCAGGAAGGAAAAAAAAATTAGTCATAAGTAAACAATAAAGCAATATCGTATTATATCGGTTGGCTGTTCTGCTTCATTACCAGCAGAAATGGGGGCATGAGATGGTAACAAAACAAAGTGCTTTGCTTTGGATCATGATGAAGGGTGTTATCAGTACTGAATGAAATACTCCAAAAGAGAGAAAAATTAGAATCCTTAGCCCTTTATAAGAGACAAGTGTCTGATACCTCACTTATGGGGCTACTTTTAAGGTGACATTCCACACAGAGCTCTCTCTCTCAAGAGCCTTGAAATCATACAGTCAGCCATATGAATGGTCACAAGATGCAGAACTGCTGCTCCTCAGAGCCTGGCAGACAAATGGCTACTTAGCAACAGGATTTATCAAGTTACATAAGAGGCTCCTAACAGCACCGTTTTAGGACTTCACACTGTGGATATCATTGCGGATAAATGAGGAGATCCTTTGGATTCCAATAACAAACTCCTATTATTAAGACAGAAGACAGGCATATCTTATTACCAAAGACCTGCCTTATGGAAGACTGTTAGAATACCATTCAAACTCATTAGAGAGACAGCTGAAGGACAAAATGAAATAAATCACTCTTGGGGCCAAAAGGAGTAGGAAGGACTATAAAGGCATCATTTTAGATCTACTCTCCTTTTTGGAAAGAAATTCAAATATAATTGTTACATGAAATACATTGGCCCTTTAATCACTATAACCTTAACAAATGGCCTGTAGTCTTAATGTTCCTTTAAGCAAATCTAGCTCAGTACCCATTTACATAAAAACAGCTATGTTAGTTGAAATCATCCATAAAATTCTGTATTCTTGGATTTGAATTAATAGAGTTTAATTATAATTACTAATTTTGTAAACTTCAGATTAGTACATTTCTAAATATCTGACTTACTTCTGAAAAGAATTTTGAAGGCATTCTTCTTAAATGGTTATTTCACAAGCTAGGCATGTATAAAATACATACGAAACAGTACAAACAACATAAGACTCTCAGAGAAATTAAATGGATATCCATTAGAAACTATACACAACAAAGAATGAAAAGAGAAAAAATACAAGGTATACATTAAAGAGGCAGAGGAGGAGTTTACAGTTGGACTAAAAAGAGACATAGTATGCTTTTAAACACGGGGGGGAGGGCTGACATTAAGAAATAAAATGAGGGAATCATTTCTAAAATGCAAAAGTCTTATTACCTTCCATCTCTCTCCTAGCCACCCCAGGACTGGGAGGGGCTCCAACACCTTTTTAGAGAAAGAACAGAAGCTATATATTGTGCAGGGCCCACAGCACAGAATGAAAGGCAGGCACACATGATAATTTCTGCATTGAACTTACTTTTGCAAAGGCTCTTTTATTGCTTTAAATTTCTTCAAAGATATCAATAGAAAACAAAGTGACTTTAGATGCCTAGCCCAAACTTGAGTTCCTCCTTTCCTCAAACAGAAGAGTAAAAACAGGATGACAGTTTCCTTTTTATGGGAAATAAACTACTAGCAGTAGGGAACTTTTAAATATATTTAATAAAAGCCTTTGCTTTATAATCATCTCATTTCTTATATCTAGAGCAAATAAAAACTCCAATATTTGTCAGAAGGAAAAACTCATAAAGTTTCAATTTGATTTTAAATTTTTATAAGAGTACACTGGTATCCTAGAAATTAAGTTTTTGATGCGTTACTTAAAAAAAAAACCTCTAAAAGTACTATAATGACCTTCCCCAGATTACTGCCGTAAAGGAATTATTGGTTAAGGGATAAAATACCTACAAAAGAATTATGAAGAGAAATAATTTTTTTTAATTAAAACAGATTTCTAATTAAGTCACTGGGTCACTAATAAGACCGAATTTTTACAAATTCATTTTAAAATTTATTTTTTACAGATTGTTTTCCTAATTAAAGCAGAAGATAAATAGAAACTATCACAAAAATAAAAGCAGGAGTTTGCAACAGGAAACATTAACGTTTTCTGTAAGTCGATGAAAAACTTATCACCTAGCAGTATTTTGCATAAGCTATAATACTGAAATAATTATCGTTATTGTACAAAGTCATTAAAATCCACACACAGGCAAAGTCAGTCTTTAATAAGACCTAAATTGGTCAACAATGTCAGTTAGAATAGACCAACTACACATGTACAGTGGGCCTTAGTTATATTAAACAGGATTTGCAAAAGCTCTTCTGAGGAACTGTGAAAATCCACCTTATCCTTTCCTGAGAATGAGATCAAACAAATTTGTCAGATGTATAACTCCAAGACTTTTCATGTAAGCCAAACAAGCTACACTTCAAACAAAAAGTGATCTGTTGTGAAAAAAAGTTTCCTTATTGAAAATCATATAGTTCTTACATAAACAGATGAAGCATGAGTTTTATGACAAGTTATAATAAATGCAAAATGAAAGACATATTTCAGATAATTACTATAATGCTAAATTGCATTCCTAGGAAACTGCTAATCCACAAGCTTTTTCACTAGAAAAAGAAGGTACTACAGCATCACTAATCTTGGGAAATGTTCTGAAGTCACCTGAATCCCTTTTGAAATTAGTATGACTTTTGAGGATTAAATTTTTGTAACCAAATTAACTATTTTTATCAAAAAAATTCTATCAGATCTGATGAGTGGTTCAACTATATTTTCCTGGGAAATGGAAGCCCTCATTAGTTTTATTCACAAATAAAACTAACCTCAAATATTTTACTTAACAAGAATATAACAGAAGTTTAAAGCTATTTTTAATTGGAGTATATATATATATATATATCATTCATTTTGACTTTTATCAAACAAACCTAAGATATCTTTCAGTTGTAGAGATCAAACTCCAAAACATTAACGAACCAAGATTCATACACGATAACAAATGTAAACGGTTACCTCCAAATTCTTTTCTAGCAGGTGCAGGACTCCTAGCCCCTTATAGTTCACAAGAAAATATGCAGCAGAAAGGAAATGACAGTAAATGAAGAATTGAAATTCCAGTCAAGGTTTTATTAACACTATAATATTCATTACGTAGGAATTACATATTAGTATCTAGGTACTATTAAAAAGCTATTATTCAATACATATAATAAAGCAACAACTCTATATTTAAAAATATAAAACTCTACATTATAAATTTTACAGCAATGAGTAAATTTTAATGATTTTATGCTTATAAATCCTGAAATGAGGATTTTAGAAAAAAAAGTTAGCCCTAGTTTTACCTAAGAACAGTTTATACACCTAGCTACATGAAACTAGCAAAAACAAAACAAACATCTCTGTACACTGGCTGAGAAGGCAACTATGAAAACAAGTTAGAGAAATCTACTGGACAAACAGTCTACCTGGTCTTTTAAGCCTACCATGGTCTTTAGAAAAAACCTGAGAAGTAGCAACAATGAGAGAAAAACAATAAAATCTAGAAGCTTAGAGACTGGAAAACATGCAAAACATTTTAGAGTAAAGTAGAAGAGAATTTTAAGTCTAAGCAGAAATGAAAATAAAATAGTCTGTCACCTGAAGGTGGAGGAGGCCTCTGCGGGGGAGCAGGACGCGTGGGGGGAGCAACTGGACGGGGAGGTGGTGGTCGCTTGGGCTCCAGGGGCTGGGCAGCATCTTTCTGCTGCAGCGGAGCTGCTGGCTGAGTGTCAACAGGAGAACCTAGAACAGCACATTTGGTAAGATCAGATTCCAAGTGGCTGCTGGCAGAAAGGAATGGTACTTCATACACACACACACACACACACACACACACACACACACACACACATACATATACATGTGTTCTATTTTACTACTTTTTAAAATTTATACAATAGTGTAAAGAAAGGGCACATATTTTCAGTATGAATGACAAAAACAGTCTACCATTAAACTACCCTCTGGTACTATGGCAGCAAAAATGCTACCACCATGCTGACTTCTCACCTAAGCCCCAGGTGCTGAAAGCTGATTTACTAAGTGGCCCTGTCAAGAAGGCACAAAGTATTGTTTAAGTCATTTGTAGTTTGCTGGCCAGCGGAGAGAAGAAAAAGAAAAGCCCAAATTTGAGACAGAGTCTCATTCTGTTGCTCAGTCTACAGTACAGTGGCATCATCATAGCTCACTGTAACCTCAAATTCCTGGGCTCAAGCAATCCTCCTCCTCCTGCTTCAGCCTCCTGAGTAGCTGGACTACAGGTAAGTGACACTGCACCCAGCTGATTTTTCTATTTTTAGTAGAGATAGGGTCTTGCTCTTGCTCAAGCTAGTCTCAAACTCCTGAGCTCAAGCAATCCTCCCACCTTGGCCTCCCAGAGTGCTAGGATTACAGGTGTGAGCCCAGCCAAGTTATGAGTTTCTACCATAATAGAAAATTATTAATGATCAGACTTGGACAAACCTAATCACATAGAAAAAGGATTAAGAGCAATTTTCATCTACTAACAGGATGATGAGTTTCCATTGAGAGCTTATCATCTATGAATTTTCTTCTTTTATATGCATATTAAAACAGGGTACACTTTAGCACATGGGTACAACAATTAAACAACAATGGCTCTCCAAAATCAAACACATTGGCTAGAGCTGCAGTTCCCAATCCCTGGGCTGCAGACCGGTACTGGTCTGTGGCCTATTAGAAACTGGGCTATGAATCACTGCCTGAACTCCACCCACCCACCCCCACTGCCCACCCCATGGGAAAACTGTCTTCCATGAAACTAGTCCCAAGTGCCAGAAATGTTGAGGACCACTGGGCTAGAAGTAGTCTTACAAAACTTAAAAAAAAAATACACACTCTGTGCACTTGGAGGCCCAGGAGTTCTTGATGGTGCTCGGCTTGGTCTGACAGGAAGGGAAGGTACAGGAACCTCTGACATTGTAGGTGACTGGCAGGGACTGGTTCGGGGTGAAGAGCTCGGAGAAGTGCCAAGGCCAGAACTTGAAGATGGCTGGAGATGCTGAGGAAGAAGTTCCTCCACTTCTGCACTATAGTCATCAACATCACCTAAGGAAAAGCAACGTTATCAAAGATACCACCATTTTAATTTGCTCAGAGATTCTTTTTCACCTTAGGTCTTAAAAAGTTAAAGTATACAAAATAAACATGTCAATGTTATGGCGTTACAAATACATGTGGATTAAGCATGTTAGGCATAAATAATATAAAGATATCCATTATTTCAGAGCAACAGGATGCCAAGACACTAACCATGTGGAGCTGGGGTGGCTCGGTGGGCTTTTAATATTCCTCTGAGAAGCTATTGTACAGTTGGCTCAAGTTTTCTGTCCCTCCAAACCTGTCCACTGCGCTCTGTGGAAATGCCCTGTTCCCCTGCCAACCCAGGTCCAGTGTTAGAGTCAATAAGCTCTCAGGCAGCCATAAGCCTTCCCCAGAAGTCCCCTCCCATGCACAACCCCTACTATACAAAGACTCTCTTTTGCTTTAACTGAACATTGGTTCTCCCAAGGTTCTCCTTATTTCCACTTCCCTCAGGATTGGAAAGTGGGTCGGGATACACCTTGCAACCTAACTCCAATTCCAGGACAATAATCTTCCAACCCTGAACAAAAAGTCCTACACTGCTTTGAGGCTATGCCATCAGGAATTTATGTTACAGTCTCCACCCCCACTTGCTACAGTAATCTCCAACCTCCATTCTTCTGTCTCTTTGTTCATTGAGAACTAAGCAGACAGCAGGATGGTTAAGTAGAGCACTATCGTCTTTCTGCGTGACATCAAAGTCCGCGTGGACAGCCCGTCCAACAACCTAAATACCTTGGTCTCATTCTTACTGACACTTACCTGCACTCCTAACACACACACCCCTCTGAACTACACCACTTCTGAAATAAACTCAATCCTACATCCTGACCACTGCCTCTCAGCCTTTCAGTTCTCTCCCGCAGTCTTTCTTTCTTTCTGTGACCTCATCAGGACCCAAGGCTGAACCCTCTAATTCTCACCCTCATTCAATTCTGCTGTCTTCTGTGTCTAGCTTCAGATTCCACAGTTCTTCATTTCGACATTCCCCTAGCCCACTCTTCTTCCATCCCACCAGCTTGACCAATCCCCACACCTGCCTGATTCCACTACTATTTCTATGGCTGCACTTGGGCTGCTGAGTCCTGCTGCTAAAGAAATTCATCTGGACACACAGTCCAGATGACAGCAGTCACACAGAATATGTGCTTCTCTGTCTCTTCTGGGCTCCCAAAGATGCCTGGCAACTCCATGATATTTCCAGGTTGGCTCTCCCTGTCACCCCTTCTCCTCTGGAGCTTTATCTCAAAGCTTCTCAACTTTCCTGAAACTGTAGATTGCCTCTCTCCTTAAGGTAACTTCAACACTTAACCTTTACAGAGAAAAGAGGTGTCTTACGAAGGGAACACCCTCTTCAATAGCCTGCCCCAAGCCCAACTCTCATCACACACTTAGGTATTTGTGGATGACGAATGTGTCCTACCCACCTCAGTTTTCTCAGTGACCTTGCCCTAATTTGGCCCTGCCCTTACCCAATATTGTCAGCCCTTTACCAGCATTTTCCCATCAGCGCTAAGCACTCTCAAGCCTCTCCCATTTAAAAACAACTATCCCTGGATCCCCTATCTCCCTGGAGCAATTTCCCTTTTCTCTCTTTTCCCTCAATCTTAGTCAAACTTCCTTAAAGAGCTGTCTATAGACACCCTCTCCATTTCTTCACCTTCTATCCATACCAATTTGCCACCATCTGGCTTCATCACAACACTGAAATTATTCTCATGAATGTCACTAACAGCTTCCCTCCCTGTTACTTCATCAGGAGGACAAGTTTCTGTCCTCATTTCTCCTCATTTCTCTGTGCTACAATACACCACTAACTACTCTCCTTGTTCCACTTCCTTCCATTGATTTTTAAGCACAAAATTGCTCTATAACATTTCTAATTATTTCTTCTCATATTCTTTCTATGGATGGCCACTTTCTGTCTAGCTTTAAATTTTGTGTTTCTACAAATTTTATCGCAAGACTCTGTGTCTCTCCATATTTCATTCATTCTCTCCTGTCTCTACGTGACCCTACTGGCCAAAGAAATAAAATGTCCATGGCTTTACTGGCCATCAGAGCTTCCCTGTGAGTCCAGAGCTCTTTCCTGAGCACCAGACCTACATACTCAACAGCTGACACTGACTGGACTGACTCCACAGGCATCTCAAATTCAACATGTTCAAAATTAAATTCATCTTTCACTGTACACATACTCTTCTCCCTGCATTTTTTCCTTCATTTACTCCCTCAAAAACTTGCTTGCCTCATCAATTTAGATCCTCTTTCTCCCCCTGAGGCCTGTGGACATACTTTCTTCTGGGATCACTCCTCTCTATCCTCCTTAATCCAATCTCCCAGTCATTGGATCCTCAACTTAAATTTCAATTCCTCTGGGAAACTTTGCCCAACTTCCCAAATCTAGGTTAGGCAACTGTTCCATGAGCAACCACAGCACTGGTCACTGTCACATTTATGTCACTTTATTATAATTGCCTGCTTAATTGTGTATAACACCCAATAAACTGTGAGTTGTAGGAGGGCAAGGATCACAGCTGTTGAATTTCCAACACCTAGCATATACCTGGCACATAAATATGTGTGGACTAAGTAAACAAATGAACAGAGAATGTGAAAACTGGAGATAATCTTGAAAGATGTTTAACTCTTAAATGTGATATCTAGGTGGACAGGGTATCACAATATGTTATCATTTTATAAACTAAGGTATGCATTTTTATTTAATTAATTAATTAATTTTTAGAGTTGGGGATCTTGCTCTTGCTCAGGCTGGTCTCGAACTCCTGAGCTCAAGCAATCCTCCCGCCTCAGCCTCCCAGAGTGCTAGGATTACAGGTGTGAGCCACCACACCCAGCCCGAAGGTATGCATTTTAATGAAAAATATGCTAGGATAATGCAGATTATAGTATTAAAAATGCATTTTTAACCATGTTTACCGAAATCATTATGTCCCAATTAAATGGTTACATTTATATGGATGGCTTCAGTTTCAACTGTATGTGTTCCTAGCCACTTTGAGTCTTTTTTAATTATGTTGAAACATACCCTCTTTTGCAATAATTATTTTAAATACATTTCTGTTATCAGACTACCCACTTGGAAGTCCTATTTTTTTACCTCAACTTTAAATATTGGAACTAAAGTGTTCATCAAAAATACCAATTTGGGCTATTATCACACCAAAATATAAACTAGTATCTGTAAAACCCTTACTATTTAATGAAAGGATAGCAAATACATTTAAAGCCTAAGTGTAAGCAAAATAAATATAATACAATACAAAATAAATTCTAATTAATACTGCTAGGTATGTCCCAAAAAGAAGAAGAAAAATAAACTTGTATACTAAGACTGTGTAGGTGGGAAGAAAATCTATCTAGAACTACAAAAGTAAATTGTGTTCAACAAACAAACCTTCCATATCAAAATCTGCTGTGACCTCCGCATCTTCACCAAGCAGGGTAGAGCTCGTTGATGATGGCAATGCAATGCTAATTTTCTCTAAACTCATTTCTTCTTCCAAATTTTTGATCCAGTCTGGACTTTTTAAAGTAATAGTTATAGTCCGATTCAATAACTAATTGAGTAAAAAAGATATAAAATTCATTAACATGAAAATTTAACCATTTTGGAATAAAGGGGGTGCCTTAGTTATACTATGCAATGATAGAGACAGTTAATTCAATTCAACAGAATTCTTTCACATATATTAAATTTTTAACTAGTTTAAAAGTTTCCAGTTCTCCCTTTAAAAGCCAGTGGTGCTAAATAAACATCTTCTTTTCTAGGCTTCAAGATTCAAGGGTTGGTTTTTTTTTTGCTACAGAGTATCTTTTCCTGGACATGTATCAATTCACTGATAACTACATAATTATAGCTATATAATTTTGTTTCCTTTGATTTTGATCCAGAGGTTAAGTAATTGTTTTTACTATCTCTTCTTTTTACAGAAGAGACAGTAGAAAAATCTTTAAAATAGATTTCCTGTTCATTTGGTCTTTCCTAATTTGGCATATGAAGTTGCTGTATTGTCAGCTGCTATATGCTAACCTATACAGTTTTAGCATTTCAAATGCCAGAATACTGAGAGAACTGAAGACCATTTTAAATCTTTATCAAAAATTAATCATTCTAAAAACAGAATGACTGCTACCTGTGAAACTGGCACTCTGTCTTTCCTATAAATTTGAGTGGCTTTTAGATAACAGTATATTCTAAAACAACCAACGCATTACAATTGAGTTATACCATGTCCTGTCAATGTGTTTTTAAAAAATACTTTAAAAAAACTTGCCAATAACTGTAAGACTCCACAGTTAAGGATAAATAAATTGTGTACTAGAATTTCTCATTTAAAACCCATATACACATAACAAACTTGCTTCTTAAATTGTAAGCTCTCTCTCACATAGTTTCAACTTCCTCTATTTGAAGAGTTTATTGATGTGAACAAGATGTTACATTTGGTAACTGCAAATAAACTGTGCACCTATGACCAATATGCTATGCTGACAGTTGGCACCTTTATGGGTACCAATTTTCCTTGGCTCCAAGTGTTACTGACATTAGAATTCCTAGAAGGTATAATGATGGAGAGAGTGAAAGCTGCTGACCTGAATGGCACAGCTGTGTTTAACAGTCACTGAGCATCCACACTGAGCTTTGAAGTCAGAGTCCTAAGAATTGATAATCCTTTACCTGCTTATTAGATCTGAGCATTAATCAATTCAATTTCAGAACTTAGCAACATGCTTTAGAGGTTATATATTACTTTTTAAAGTCAACAAAGTTCTTTTATATTTACCAAAGAATACTAACAAGCATTCTTAAGCCTGGATCATCATCATGGCCATTTAAAATTAATTCCTTAGAAATAACCACTTGGTAGAGATCAGGGCCAAATGAAAAGGAAGAAATTTAGATGACAGAAAAGAAAATACTCAAGAAGGTACACAGGGATTCCTTGGAATGCTGGTTTTAATAATCAAAATTTGGAAACAATCTAGATGTCTACTAATATGAGTTTGCTTAAATAAATTTATATATTTATCCACATAATGAAATTTATGCAGCCATTAAAAATGACATATTTGTTTATATGGAAAGATGTCCATGACATAGACTCAAGTAGAGAGGTAGTAAGAAAACAGCATTTATAACACGGTCTCATTTGTGTTTGTGCATGTATCTGTGTATATGTATGTACCATTTGTGTTAATGTGTGTGTATATACACATATATAAAATCCCATTTGTATTAATAACATATATATGCTTATATGAAGGTTAAGAGAAATTATTTCATAGCAGCAGGATTACAAGTAGTCATTATTTTGTATAGTTTTCTGTATTTCTTGATATATGATTTGCATAAGCATATCAGTATTACACTCAGGAAAACAAACAAAACCCTACAAAATCTATTTCAAAATCTATTTCTTTTCTATATGCATAGAAATGTATTTCTCCAACAAAGCTGAAGTAATGCAACAGAAGAGGAAGCTCAGGAAAATCTTTACAGAGTTGCCCATTGTTGGAGAAATTTGGCCTAGATTGTAGTCCATCCTATGTACTGACCATATACTTAGAAATTTAGGATTTGTCTGAAAGAATTCAGAAAAAATGACAGATGCAGCACTACAGAGCAGTAAAACTATTCTAGGCTATCGATATAAATTTCCCCCATCAATGACATTTCAAAGCATAGGTTAGGAATATCTCCATTAATTACAAATTTCTCAAATGCCTCAATGGGATGGATTTGTTATTTTTTTACTATCCTTGAAAAAGATAACTGGATACCATGACCCAAACCAATAAAAAAATTCCTGGGAATAATGAGCATGTTCCTCCATTCTTCATCTGATAGAAATCCTTTCCACTATACAGATGAGCCAGAATATCTACGCCCAATTAAAAATTTAAAACTTTTTACATCATAAAATATGATAAGAATCAAATTAGGTAATAGACATGTTTTCTTATGGTCTACATCAATGGTTAATTATCTCAGGCTTAGTGTGGTGGCTAACGCCTATAATCCTAGCACCCTGGGAGGTCAAGGCAAAGGATCATTTGAGCTCAGGAGTGTAAAAACCAGCCTGAGCAAAAGTGAGACCGTCTCTACTAAAAACAGAAAAATTAGATGGGCATGGTGGCATGTGCCTGTAGTTCCAGCTACTCGGGAGGGTGACACAGGAGGATCACTTGAGCCCAGCAGTTTGAAGTTGCAGTGAGCTATGATGATGCCACTGCATACTAGCCAGACTGTCCCCAGAAAGAAAATAAAATTGAATTAAATTAAAATTTTAAAAAATGGTTAATATTAGTAGGGAAGGACCAAAATAACCCTAGCTAGTCAGAGACCTAGTCTAAATAAAACATATTAAAATAATTCCTCAAGGCCAGATGCGGTGGCTCACGCCTATAATCCTAGCACTCTGGGAGGCCAAGACTGGCGGATTGCTTGAGCTCAGGAGTTCGAAACCAGCCTGTCCAAGAGCAAGACCCCATCTCTACTATAAATAGAAAGAAATTAATTGGCCAACTAATATATATAGAAAAAGTAAGCTGGGCATGGTGGCACATGTCTGTAGTCCCAGCTACTTGGGAGGCTGAGGCAGAAGGATCCCTTGAGCCCAGGAGTTTGAGGTTGCTGTGAGCTAGGCTGATGCCATGGCACTCACTCTAGCCTGGGCAACAAAGTGAGACTCTGTCTCAAAAAAAAAAAAAATTCCTCAAGCATACCATGAGATCTTTTACCCTCCTTAACTAAAAATACATTTAGATAATCTTGCTGCATGTCTATAAAAATACTGTGTAATCTTCACACATTTAAGTTCAGAAGGGTTTAGAGTCAACAAATGCTATCTTACCTCTTTACCATTTAGGCTCAGAACATTCAAGGCAGAGCTTCCTTCCAAAAATGTGACCCACATTTTATCTTCTACAAATCTTTAAGAGAAATAATAAAAAACTGCAGTTAATGTCTTAGATATAACTAGCCCAATGATTACTGATTAACAAGGACCTACAGAGGCCTGGAAGAAAAAAAGTCAAAGAAGGAGAGCAGTAGGTCTGGTGGTGATCTGGAGAGGGCACTCTTCCCATAAAAGCATTCAAATCCCATAGGAAATCACTATGCTAAAGGAATAGCCAGAAGAAATGGGCCTGAGAACTACCATTTGTGATCCTTACTATAATCCAATCCTACCCTTCATTGACATGAAAAAAAGAGCCAGAGGTTAAATGACTTGTTCAAAGTGATCCTACAAGGAGAATAAGTTACAGGGCTAGGATCCAAGTCTCCTGACCTCATAGTCCAGCACTTACATATTTTTATTGTCTCAATGACTTCCCTCTAGAAAATTACTTGTGATCAAGAAAGATGACAGGGAGTTGTCAGTGAAACAAAACAAAACAAAACTTAGGTTGTAATCCTTGTCTTTAGTCATTGACAAGACATTTACTCTCTACGAACTTCAATGGTTTTGTTATAATTCTAAATTTATAGTTATGAAATAAAAAAATCCTCAAAAAGATAAAAATAAAAAGGACATTAGAAGTAGTTCTAAGGAGGATAGTCACTGATGTGTAATAAGGTTATCAATGCAAAAAAGAACCAATTATAACATTATCAGTCTTATTTATAGAAACAATTTTGCAAGTTCAACTACTCCCAACTGTATAAAACAAGTTCAGAAATCCTTGCATATTTTCTAAAGATGAGAAAGGGTTAAACATGTACACATGTATGTACACACACAGATTCTCTCTCTCAAACTAGGACTCAAAAGTATGAATTATAGATATTAAGAGGAAAAGGTCAAAAACAAAAGTACTTTACCTCTATTGAAATCAAGGGTCTGGAACAGATTTCTACAATCACTCAAACACGACCAAGGTAACTGATTCAATTTCTTTGGCGTAAAGTTATTAAATTGCAAGATGCCATTATTTGAAATACACAGGGACATCTTTCTTATCTAACTACCACAAAGGTATCTTTTTCCAAATTGTTAACAAGGTAGAACATCCCTCCACCAAAAGTTATAATCACCACTGTAAAGCTGCACTTATGCTGTGCCAGTCCCACCTCCCCAACCCCAAACATTCTTCGTTCTTTGATAGTGGTGCCAAAGCATTTATGGTCTCAGAGCAGGGTTAATCTCTTGGTCTTTATCCTCAATTAGCAATGTGCCCCTTATACGTTTCTAACTTTAACAAGGGATCCTGGTTCTTACATCCATGGATTTATACAGGTCCTTTTGGAAGCCGTACTTCCTTCCTGCTCTCATTCACTAGGGTAAACAGTTCTAGACTTTTCCTTCAATGTAAATATCTACATGTATCTAAATTTATTCCATCGACATTTCCAAGGAAACTCTTACTTAAATATACAGAGGTTTATAGGCTTTAGTCACTCCTTAATGGCTGTCTTAGTCTAGACCAAAAGGTAATAATCAGTGTCATCTCACAACTTAACAGTAGTACCCCCCTGTTGACTTTCAGTGTCTGCTTCTTTTCCAACTTGGTTGTCTTGGGATATAACAACCAGAATATTCTAGGTGTGGAGACAATTCATGGTTTTATAGTAAGGGTAATGGCTTATTTTCTTATCAATATTTTTTCCTAATGATGACAACCACTTGGGAGAAAGTTTTTGGCTTCAATTTAACATCAAGTTCTTAGAGACTGAGTTATAAAAACAGGTCCCTTTACAGTATTAGAGTTTTCATCCCTATACAGTTTGGATTCTTTCTAGCTCACTGCAATATTTTGCATTTGTTCATGAAGACATTCATCTGCTACTTTGCTGCCCACTCACACAGTCCACATGATGCTTCGGATGGTCTGGCATTTCTGTACTTGGCAAAGCTTACTGTCATCTGTAAACTTGGAGATCTCACTATGTACTTCCTACAGCCTTAAGATTTTGGAAATTGTTTTGTTTCGTTTTAAAGCTTTGGGGTATATCTTTGTCAAAAGATTTGAGGTAAGTCTAAATATAAATTATTTTCCATTTGCTCATTTACTCTCTGAAAGGACTTGAAGTGTCTTAGACATGATTTTCATTCTACGGAAGCCACATCATGTTAATTCTGTGAACTATGCTGTTTAGGATGTGGGGAAGCCATTACTCAGGTGCTGATCTTCCCAAACAGATTACAGTTGTATCTTCGACATCTCTTCTGCTCTTCCATAGCACCTAATATAGAGATTTGCCCAGGAAATATCTATAAAACACAGCTAAATAACCAAATGACCAGCACTGAAAGGAATTTAATAGCATCTCTTTCCCTATGGAATTCAAACACACACACACACACACACACACACACACCATTCAATCTCTCAACATTGCTGTGCACTTGGAGAGAACATTTTTAAAATAAGGTAAGAGGGGTTTGGTTCTGCAAAAGGCAGATGGTTAAGTCAATGAGAGAAACCAAAACTGGAATGAATGTCTCCTGACTATTCGTCACATCTCTGTGATGTGATGAATCACATCAAATTTCTTAAACTGAGGGGGGGAAAGTCACTCTACTTTACTCTGATCTCCCCTTAAAAAAAATCATAGCAATCACAGCTTTATTTAGTTATAGGGATTTGTTATATGTTCTATGATATAGGAATCTTGAGAGGTCATAGCTAAGCTTGCACATATTTTTGTCTTCAATTGCTCATATAAAGTTTCATTCTTCATTTAAACTTTATAAGCAGAGAATTCAGTTTCAAACCTTTTGAATAATATTTACAGTAAGAGTTTTCTTTAGTTTGGAACTAAATACTATTCAAACACTAAATAAGGTGATTTCTAATACAGAAACTATTATTTATGAATCATGAGCCTCTTTTAGATAATAAATATTTTACTCACCTTATGAGTATAACTTCACCAAAATTTGCAAACTGCTGCAGGAGCTCATCAATCAAGGCATCATCAAAAAAATTGTTTTCTGGTAAAGAACTTTTGATTGAGACCAATACTGTACCATCTGGTGGACCCTGAACTGCAATTACTTCTTTATAAATGTTTTGCCTTTCTTCAGCTTCAACTTCAAATATATCTGTATCAATCAGGGCAACGACAGGCCTTAAGGCATAAAGGAAGACAGATGTATTAGAGAGGTTTTAAAAGTGGGTGTATTTCAAATAAATTTCAAGCACCATTATAAATACTGAGACTGTTTAAACCTATGGTCAGAAGTCTTCAGCTCAGCTCTTCCATAGTGCAGCAAGGTACCAGGAGTCCATGTATAAAGGACTTTGCTTCCATCTTGAAAACTAGCATTCAGAAGATCTAGATCTTCAGCTGCAGTCAGAAGAAAATAAAACACAAGATAAGCCATATGAGCATGACAGGCCATGTGGAGCAAAGAGGTACCTTCTTCCTTTCATGAGCTTCAGTGGTCTGAGGCTAGAATGCCAGATATAATTGTTAATAGGCAGGAAGTCTAGGTACCTTTAAATTAGAAAGGTTTTTGGTAAAATTATCATTTTTATTCTTTACTTAGTAAAAATGAAGATGTGGTTTTATTTCTAAGATTAAAGGCCTGTGACCAAACAGTGCTTCCTAAATAATGCAACAGATACGTGGCAGTTCAAAATATATGCACTTTAGTTATTTAAGTTAAAAACCTGAATTAACATTCAATTGAAAATTTCACAAAAATATTTCCTTGATTCCCTTTATATGAAAATAGACTAAAAAATTAAATTATAAACAGATGAGAATATTAAAAATCTGTCTTTATATGTAAATTTTATATATTCTATTCTAGATAATTGTTTAAAAAAATCACTTTCCTCTTATTTTGTATCATTCCCTTCTTCCTCATAAAATTTGCATTAATTCATTTAAATAAAGAAGTCCATTTCCCAACCTGATCTATCAAAAGGCCATTTTCTTCTTCTCCAGAGGACACGGTCTGTCCATGCAGGGGTACGGCACTTTTCACTGGTGTCATAGTCGTCAGAAAATAAATCATATTTATATGTCGGAGCAAAGGTTACTTTTCCCTCTAAAAATCCTCTAAAAATCTAAAATAAATATATACAAAGTAAGTTATTCCAAAACACAAAAAAGTCTGTTATCATTCAGGCCGTCAACGTGAAGGTAATTCTACATTTATTTATCTACAGATACATATTGAGGTATAAAGAAATCCCAAGTAATTAAAAAAATGATTAAAGAAAGCATATTTCATGACCCCCAATCCCCTTCTTCTCAATGCAAGTATCTTCTCAAATATGAATATACCTGTCCAGCATTTTTCTGATTGATAAGTTGATCTCCTGCTATAAGAGAATCCCAATTCTGCTGTCTTATGAGCTCTTTAACTTCTTCATTAGGGAGATCGATTCGATAGTTGAAATCACCACACCAAAATACATAGTCATGGGAAAACAGCATCCTTCCCTGAAAGCAATGGGATGGAATTTTAAATTCAAAACAGTCTATTTTTAAAAAATGTTTTACAACAATTTCTTTGCCTCAGATACACTTACACCCTCCTTCCCATGCCCTGTTTCTTTAGCCCAATAGTATGATAATAACATGTATTTACCTACTTAGGTAAATACTGCTGATGTTTCTAAGAATTAAATTTTCAAAAATACTGATATAGAATTTGGGGTATATTAAAATACATTTCAAAGCTTTATCTTCAATAACCAGCAGCAAGAGCTTACCATAGGAAAACTCAATTTTCGTGCTATTTCTACAAAATCTTCATTTCTTTCTTTGACTTGTGACTGCCCTGCAGCAAAGTGGCTACAGACAAAGCAAAGGCTGGTTGTATGGAACAGCATTCGGATTGCAACGGCTCCCTTATTTCCAGTTGCACCTCCCATTCCAGTCTTCACAGTATCAACGGCAACATCCCTTTAAAACAAAGAATTCTAAATCACAGATTTGAAATTTTAAAAGTTTTGTGTGCAGAAATTAGGAATAGATATATGTAATCATATAATTATATATCATATGGTACTTTGAGAGCAAGCTTATGAAATAGTACAGTGAAACTATTAGTGACTCTTTCTTTAATCAAAAACTCATTTAAAAACAAGAACTTATGGATAAATGTTTCTCTGAAGCAACAAACATTCTAGGCCTTTTTCTTGTTATTTAATGGTAGGAAGTAGCCTTAGGAGAGTGCTCTGTTTACTGACCTGATAAAAGGAGCATGCTGGGGTCTGATAAAGACAAACAGACAGACGCCCACCAACTGTTCAGAAGCCAGCAGCACATACTTGTTGTCTCTGGAGATTGTCTTCTGAAGTTCCACAGCCCAGAGCTTCTGATTTGTTGTGCTACCAGAAAATATTAAAAAGGGAATCTTTTAAAAAGATATTAACCGTAGCCTATTTTATAAGACAACTGTCAATTATACCTTTATCTAGCCAAATTTCATAAGACTGAAACCTTTACACACTCTGTTTTTGTTTCTTTTACAAAGGAAAACCCAAAATTTAGCCAAAGACCACCACACTTCCAAATCTAATCTCCTGCTCCTTTATAAAGAAAATACTGACATCTTATATTTTCCTGGTTAGAGCTGGAACCCATACTACTAAGTGAAGTATCCCAAGAATGGAAAAACAAGCACCAGATATATTCTCCAGCAAACTGGTATTAACTGAGTAGCACCTAAGTGGACACATAGGTACTACAGTAATAGGGTATTGGGCAGGTGGGAGGGGGGAGGGGGGCGGGTATATACATACATAATGAGTGAGATGTGCACCATCTGGGGGATGGTCATGATGGAGACTCAGACTTTTGGAGGGAGGGGGGGAAATGGGCATTTATTGAAACCTTAAAATCTGTACCCCCATAATATGCCGAAATAAAAAAAAAAAAAGAAAGAAAATACTGAGCCAGTTTATTAAATGAGTACTCCCCAAGTGAGCAATCTCAAGCTATATTATACACTTTACTTTTTCTTTTCTTAAGTTCATTAAGGTCATAAAGAAGTATAGTCATCCCTTGGTATCTATAGGGGATTGGTTCCAGGACCTCCCTCAAATACCAAAATCCAAAGATGCTCAAGTTCCTTACATAAAATGGCACAGTATTTGCATACAACCCACATACATTCTTCTGTATACTTTAAATCATCTCTTGATTACTTATAATACCTAATACAGTATAAATGCTATGTAAATAGCCATTATACTGTTATTTAGACAATGACAATAAAAAAGCCTGTACATGTTCAATATAGACACAATTTTTTAAAATATTTTTGATCAGTGGTTGGTTGAATCCATGGATGTGAAACTTATAGATATGAAGGACTGACTATATATGCTTCCGGATATATGTCCCCCCTTTCTCCTCACTTTTCTGAAGTATGATTAATGTATTTTTTAAAAACTATGGGAAATTTTAAACATCCACAAAAAAGAGATAACTCTTAAATAAACCATCATATACCCATTATTCAGCTCCAAAATTATCAATATTTTGCTAATCTTCTTTCTTCCGTCCCTTTTCACTTTTTTTTTTTTTTGTTGTTAACCTAGAGTATTTTAGACCAATCCTAAGAAACATGCCATTTCACCCATAAATACTTCATATTCACTTCTAATGCAATGGGACATCTTTATTTATACATAATCACAATGCTATTATCACAGTTAAATATTAACAATTCCTTTATATCATCTAATACTCAGCTCATATTTATATTTCCCCAATTATCTAAAAAATGTCTGCTTGTGGTTGATTTCTTTAAAATAAGGTCCAAACAAGGCCCATATATTGCATGTGCTTGTCATGTCTCTTGAATCTTTCTTAATATTTAATGGTCTTACAACCCTTCTGAACCCCCTTCTCCAGTTTTCAATGACTTTTTTTTTAATAAACTGGGTTATTTGCCTTTAAAATGCTGAACAGTCTGGATTTGGCTGATGTGTCCTCATGATACCTTAACTTGTGCCTCTATCACTCATATTTCCTTCAAACTGGTTGATGCAGAAGTTTAAGAAACACGTTCAATTTTATTATTTAGGCAAAAATAGCCATATGGCTATTATCACAGCAGGAAGCGCATCATCTCTGCAGTGTTACACCTGGTTAGCTGTTCAGATGGTGGATCTAAAGTACTTCTTAGAAAGTTCCCCATTACCCCTTCTTGCAAGGACTTTGCATCTACTGATGATCATTTCTCAGATACACTATTTCATTAGGGGTTGCAAAACATTGATTTTCGTAATGTCAGCATTCCATAGGCAACTGTAATAAGTTGGAATCCTAGAAAAAACCTTTATCAGCTATTCAATTACTCTAAAATATAGTTCATATAAGAAAAGGCAGGATAAATGTTTGTTTCTCTTTATCTATAAATTTTTATAGTAGTAAGTTTCTGCCTAAGAACCTCCAATGGAGAGCAAAACAAAGCTTTTGTCATTGTTCCAGATCACACAAATGATTAGTGGGAAACCAGAATATGGCCTCACATCTACCTATCTAATCTAACACTATGCCATACCTCATCCAAACATGGATTTACTACCTAGCCATAATCCCAATCAATGTGACTTGGACTCTGAAGGGAAAATGACACCTTTGTCATTTTCTTCAGGTCACTCTTTAAGTCATCTTTTCAATGAATGCTACCCTGAACATTCCATTTAAACTGTTAACACCTCTCTACCTCCACAGACTTGATCCCCTTTTCCTCTATTTATTTATTTTTCATTGCACTTTTCTAATATCCCCTATAATTTACTCTTTGTAATTTTCTTTTTTTTTTTTGCAGTAACTTGGATGGAAGACTCTTTGTAATTCTTGTTAATCGTCTTTCTCTTCTCACCAGATTACAAAGTCCATGAAGGCAGGGATCTTGTTCTGCTTTATTCACTGAGCTATCGTTAGCACCTAGAGCGGTGCTCAGTAGATTCTGGCTAAATAAATAAATGAATATTCACCACTTTGTTAAAGAAAACTTTTATTAAACTCTATTTAGAAAAACAACTGATCAATTTTTGGGGGACTAGGAAACCTAAGAATATGTTCTATTTTAAGACCTGAATATATATTTTCAGGAAAGGCAAATCGCAAAACGAGTGAAATCAGATTTCTTTTCAACTTCCCTGATTTCAACTGTTAATTTTATTCATTTTGGCTAATAAAATAATTGTCATCAATTTGCAAGATTGATGATTATACAGTACTATTTCAGCAACAATATTCTTCTGAAAAATCTTTAAAAATGTCACAAAAGATGGGCAACTGCTCAAATTTAAAAGCAAGCATACTTTGTTAAAATAAAACACTTAAGCTTTAAGTTTCACTCATATAATTTGTATTTATAATAAGGAGTTCTCTAAATGTGGTCTGGAGACATCTTGGGGGGGTCCTCAAAACCCATGATGTCACATCTCTTTTACTAACACTACTAAGACATTGTTTGCCTTTTTCACTGTGTTAACTGACATTTGCACTGATAGTTCAAAAGCTACAATGGATAAAAGTCATGATGCTTTCACTGACCAGACACTAGTTATTATTATAGTTACTAGTCATCATTATAATCTCACAGCCATGTATTTGCAGTAAAAAAATACCATTCCACTTAAGTATGTCCCTGATGAAGGAATAAACATTATTAATTTTATCAAAGCCCTGTGGGATAATATTCTGTGGGATAAATACAAAATACACACAAAGCACTTCTGTTGCATACTGAAGTATGATGTTTATCTCAAGGAAAAGCACTTAATACTTTAGGTTGTGAGTTAAACTGCCACTTTTTTCATGGAATACGACTTTTTCTTTAAAATACTAATGATATCTGCCCAAATGATGGGAACGAGCCCCCTAAAAAAAAGAACTAACGAGATACTATATTGAGACTTAGGTTATTTGGCAGACATTTATTCAACCAAGCTTGTCTCTTCAAGAAAAAAAACCAAGACTATTTATTTCTAATGATAAAACTTAAGTTTTCAAGCTAAAATTAGTATTTAGGAAAACTTGTATCTGTTACCATGATCTTCACAGCTTCCCAATAATTAAAGTATTTTCTGATGAGATGATATTAAAGTATTTTCTGAATGATATTAACCATTTCAATGCTTTGATATTATATAATTAAGTGTGTCAAAATTTGGATGATCTACATAACTGAGTGAACTAATATTTTCTAAATGACTAATATACACTATTACAAAATCATGCAAGGATAAAAGACCAATGAGTTTTACTGTAACAAAGCACAAAATGTTCATGTATATGATTTCACATTCCATTTTGCAACTAACATTTAAGACACTACCATTTACTACTTTACCAAAACCATTAGTTTTTGGTGTAATATCATAGAAGAAATTACCTGGAAAAGCTATTAAAATATTCCCTTTTAAAACTACATAATTATGTGATTTTTCTTTCGTTTTTAACCAAAACAACATACTATAAATAGATTGATGCAAGAGTAGATACAAAGATCCAGCTGTCTTAAAACAGACATTAAAGGAATTTGCAAAACTACAAAACAATACCACCCTTCTCAGTAAATTTTTTGTTTTGGAAAAGTTATTTTTCAAAAAAATATGTCATTTATATTAACATGTCATAGGTTTATTATTGTTATTTTTAAATGAATGAAATGTTCTAAAATTTGTTTTAATTTCTAATATAATATCAAGAGACATAAAAAACATGAACAGAAGTTAACATTCTCAATATTTTTAGGTGTACAGAGAGATCCTTAGACCAGAAAGTTTGAGAACTGCTCTTTTACAATTTAAAAAGCACCTTTCTATATATTATCTCAATCTATCCTTGGAACAACTACTTAGTGATCTGTTCTCCATGTCCCTTAACTGACAAATTTTTCCGTGTGTTACCTGGCTAGCTTACCTTGCATTCACAATGTTTCCAGCATTCAACTCTACCATTTCTTCAAAACCAATTGCAAATATATCAGTTGGCTTACTTCTTTTATCTACAATTAAGCATCCAAGAAATACTTTTAAATATAGCCTTAGTCAAGTGGCAACCCCACCCAACACAAAATAATACCAGATCTCATAAAAATCTACTTTTGTGTTTGAGTTTAACAAAACTCATATTAAAGACAAAAACTCATGAGTAAGATAAAATTACCTTAAATTTACTTCCTATTCAGGTGTCCTAAGTTTGTTTTTATAAGATTGTTATTCCTGAAGATCCTTAAGTCCTTTCAGAAATCATTTTGAAAGAACTCTTTTTAAAGTTTGTACCATGGACAGCAGTAGAGAAACAAGCCACTTCTCAAAGGCTAAAGTAAATCAGAATTGTAGAGGTAAAGAAATTGTTCAGAAAAGGCACAATGAATAAAGTGGCTGAGAAACTATCTCAAATTAGAGATAACAGCGGGGAGGAATTTTTCACATTGAAATTCAAAAACCATGAGCTTGACCTTTTTGCTATTTCCTGGGTGGAAGAAATCCAGGAAAACTAGAAGAGACCCAGGAGTTAAGCCACATCACTCTGTCCTAGCTAATATTAATAGCTCCCTCCTAACTGACAAGGGCTAAAAGAGAACAGAAGCCCAGGGGTACTTTGAAAATCCCGAAGTATCCAGATATAAGGACAAACAGCTAGAAAGAGCCTATAAATACTATAATACTAATAAATAAAAAATATTGCTATTATGTGCAAGGCTCATGCATATATCATTTCATTTAATTACTACACAAACAACTTATAAGATTGTTTTTGCCTTTTACTTAAAAACAGGACCTAAGTAACTTGCCCAATGTCATACATAAAATGCAGCATGGCACGCAGACTCTGGAGCCAAACTGCCTGAGTTCCAATCCTGGCTTTGCCGCTATTGCATGACCACAGGCAGGTTACTTCCCTTTCTGTGTTTCAGTTTCTTCATCTATAAAATTGGAATAATATTGTCTATGTAATAGATCTGCTCTAAAGATTAAATGAATATATGAAAATTACTTGGAATTATAATGGTAAGCTGTTATTTTATTATTATTTTTGTAACTTCAAGTTTGGTTCAATTTAAGTGAAAGAGGGCATTTTAATAAGTTCGGGTTTAAGATGTGACTAAAAATACCTAAAAAAGAAAAATTTGTATCTTACACTATTTCCCATACACATCACCTTCATATGTAATACTTGGTAATTATATACTAGTTTTAGAAGAAATGAAAGTTGATTTTTAAAAAGAGAAAAATTAAATGCATGATTCTAATCAAAACCTTAATGAAAAGTATCCTCTGCTTAATGTTTGGTTCTGGTTATTAATAGCTTGGGGCAGAGTACTCAAACTGAATGACAACAAAGTTCTTACAGGAACAAACCAGGACTGTTAAGTTATAAAGTGCCAACAAATATCACAATAAGTTTTGTAAGGCTGCTCGGGAGCCACTCTGATATTTCTCATGTTAGTAACTAAATAGAGGACTAGAGTTTAAAAATGAGACATGAAAGTCAAATTAACAATTTACAAAATAATCTTGGTTTATGTCAGTTTAAAATAAAAACAGAACTAGTTTTTTTATATGTGTGGTTGCCTTCAAAGATACCTATTTATATATGGATCCTATTTCCTGACAATCAACTATCAAAGAAAAGGATTTTTACTTTACCATTATGTTTTTTTATGAAGTAAAAAATAAAGGTCTAGAAATTTAAAAAGAGGTAAAGATCTGATATAAAAACGCTGGCCTCCAAATTTATAACTCCAAGTCTCTTTCACAAATCAATGCATATTGTGAAGTGCTATATTTGTTTTCTAGATCAATTAATCACAGTTGGGATTTATTAATTAAATCCATATCATAAAAAGCCCACCTTGAAACTCCTGGATGCCAGCTAACTTGGGTGCATCAAGAAGCCAGTCAGTGAGTGTCTGATTCTTAAAAGCTATGCTGCGAAACTGCTTTCCACCATTCACATTCCAGGTCCCGACACATACTCGAATTTTCTTGGGCTTTGAATACTTGTAGAAATTCTCACACATGCTCTTTAGTACTTTAGAAGATGCTAATCAAAAATAAGACACAACAGAATTTTAGCAGCATTAAACCATTTATGAAAACATTTTCATAAGTAAGATATGATGTCTGAAAAGTACAATTATCTGCACAAGCACAAACAAGCATAGGATACATGCAAAGGCACAAAAAAGATTAGCCTTGAACACAAAGCCTGGCATGAGGCAATTAACAACACATCTAAAAAAAATTTAAAAATTCACAACATTAAACACAATAGCCAAAGTAAAAAATCTATTACAAAATTATTACAACATAAAACATGCAGAACAATTCTGTTTCAATGAAATGGCACATTATTTCATAATGTACAAAACCTAGTAACTGTACAGTTTTAGGAATATAGCAATTAAGTTTTAAACAACTCTCATTAAGAGTCTGGTAAAAATATAAATTTTTCATCTCCCCAAACAAAAACATTTAAGAATATTTACATTTAAGATTCTAGCTACTGGTAAGCAGCTTGATGAATAATGGCTCCCTGCCAAAAACAGAAATTATGGAAGATAATGAGGTGTCTGAGAATGACAGCACTATAAAATGTTTCCCATCTTGCTCAGAGTGGAAGCCAACATCCTCAAAAATGGTCGACAAGACCCTAAACAATCTCTTTGCATAATTTTTATCAACCACCTATCATTTCCCCTTCTAAACCACATTCCATTTTGGTTACGTTAATTCTCAGCACTTAAAGTGGTTGGAACATTAACAGGACCTCAACCTAAAAACACAGAATTTACACTGTGTAAATTTAACTGGTAAAAGGGAAAAGAAATCAAAACTATTTTTACCTTTTACCATATGATCTTATTTTATTATGATATTGTTTATTATTTTATGATACCAAGATATAGCATTCTTGTGAGGAAATGAGATTGAAGAAGGTGAATAACATATTATTGTAAAAATAATTTTGACCTGTGGATTCCCTGAAAGAACTGCTGACTTAGATAATAAGCCTATCCCCATTGTTCCCAGGAATAGATATGTAGACTATTCCTACTCTTCTGCTATTTGAATTTTTTGTTTTTTTATAGACAGGGTTTCACTCTGTCACTCAGGCTAGAGCACAGTGACAAGATCATACTTCACAGCAACCTCAAACTCCTGGGCTCAAGTGATCCTCCTGCCTCAGCCTATGAAGTAGCTGGGATGACAGGTGAGCACCACCACATCCAGCTAATTTTTAAATTTCTTATATAGATGAGGTCTCACTAAGCTGCTCAGGCTGCTGCTATTTGATTTGATTGCTTATATAGAGGTGTCTGGGTGGTAATAAAAACAGAATATTTGTTTTAGCCTTTTGGTATGGTTAGTTGAAAGCTCATTATACCTAGATAAACATCATTCTCTGTTACTATGGTCTATCAATCTATCAATGGTCTTTTTTTTTTTTTTTTTTTGAGACAGAGTCTTGCTCTGTTGCCTGGGCTAGAGTGCCATGGCATCAGCCTAGCTCACAGCAACCTCAAACTCCTGGGCTCAGGTAATCCTTCTGCCTCAGCCTCCCAAGTAGCTGGGACTACAGTCATGTGCCACCATGCCTGGCTAATTTTTTCTATATATTTTTAGTTGTCCAGCTAATTTCTTTCTATTTTTAGTAGAGATGGAGTCTCACTCTTGCTCAGGCTGGTCTCGAACTCCTGAGCTCATATGATCCTCCCACTTCAGCCTCCCAGAGTCCTAGGATTACAGGCATGAGCCATCACACTCGGCCTATCAATGGTCTTTATAATTAAAGTCATCGTCATTGTTACTATTGTGAAAACAGCTTCTACAATCCATTCTATATCAAAAACCAAGTTCTATAATGATTATAAGGCTTAAAATATTCAGCAAAACAAATAATGAACTGCATGAACAAAAACATGTTGCCACATTGTATGAACTAATAATGTTAAGTCAGTTTTTAAATGTAATAAAAAGGTAAAGGTAAAAATTATTCTTAGTTATTCATAACTGGTTGGCACCTTAATGTGCTTAAATAATGAGTCTATGCTAAAACAACAGAAGTCCATCTCTAAATGCCATATCATTTCATAAAATGGTAGTTCATTAAATAACTCAAAAATATAACCAGGTATACCCTTCCTCCACCCTTCCCAGAAAATAACCAACAGCTTCTCAAAACATTCAGAACAGTAACTAAGCAAAACAAATCTTAAGTGATACTAAATCTTGAATAAGGGAAAGAAAAGATGTCATTTTCAGCTAAATTCTGGCAAAAATTAAGCTTTTATTACTTTTGCCATGGGAAACAAAAAGACAAGATCATAAACCTTGCCCAGAGAATGAAAACATGAGATTCCTATGAATAAATAGGCAAGAAAAATAATAACCTTTAGGTCTTATACACTTAATTCTTCTTTGTTGGCAATCTTGGTGCTTTTTAAAATTAAAAGATTTCAGATCATATTTTAGTACCAGTCTACAGTTAAAGAAAATGTCTCATCCACAATATAAGCAACTGAGACAATGCCTTCTTAAATATTACGTGTGAGAAACATTGTTGAGTAATCATAAATATCACAGATAGTATTCTGAAATTAATCCAAAATAGTCACATCTGGGTTTTTTCCATCAGCCTGTTAAGAGTAAGGCATAATACTAGTAATGTCTATTCAGTGAAATACAAAAGCAAAATTAAAACAAGCCGAATTATCTTTAATTGGAATGAAGCATTTGTTACAAGGAGTCAAAGAACATTGCACATTTTCTTCTGAATGAAGTACTTAATTTTCAAGATTAAAATTTCTTTCTCAGATTAAAGCAAGATATCAATTTATCCTGTTAGAATTTGAGGAAAAAATGAGAAAGTTTCCACTTATATGGTTTTGCTTCTTTACAATATCAACTTTAAAAAATAAAGAAAAAGTTTCTTTTATTTATAGATTGATTTTCTATACTGTACCTGACTGTAATGTCTGTTCAGAAACTATGGACGCATCAAGAAGAAAACAAAGAATCATTAGTAAAACAATAGGTTACAGTTGAAATCCAGAGTGTTATGAAAAAACATTCTGAGATGGCCTCCCTTTTCTTTTAAGCCAATTTAATGCCCTTTTTTTTTCTGTTGGCTATAGAACACCAAAGGTTACAAATAAATGACAAGTGATATAAACACTCTGCAGCTAAGGAAAATCCTACAATGACTCAGTGATATCCACTGTGTCAGCATCAGAGATCCTAGACCTGTTCTTCTGGCTGCTCCTGTGCGTACGTATGTGTGCATGTGCTCATGTAAGTGTGTGAATGAAAATATTAATATGAAAACCTAAGAGGCTGGAGGATGCTAGAGACATGGAAGATACTGCCCTAATATATACCCTTTAGTATTTTTTCTAGGACTCACCAGTTGGTAAGTACAATCAGTTCAGCTATAATAAGATAAATGCATTAAAAAAATCACAATGCTAAGCAAAATTGTACAAATTCCCATAGCCACAAGGCTTGCAGGGAAAATGGGGTTAGGGGATTATATTAAAAAACTTCAACAGTGACACACCAAAAAAGATAGGAACCTAATAAAAACAGCACAGCGTTATGCAGGTTAAATGGTTAAGAAATGCATGCATACTGTATAACGTCATCTTGAAAACAATATGAACTTGGCTTGTAGAAATGGGCATCAGACAGGGTGCCACTTGTGAATAATTGTGAAAGATGGAAGAAGGGTTATCTGAAATTAGATGGGAAGTTGAAACAACAGATGTGGATGGGTATGACTCATAACACACATGGTGAACTGAATTCGGGAAGCTTTCTGAAGTGTATGCATATGTGCATGTGTGTTTTGTATTATTTCTACCCATCTCAGTTCTGCTGGGTGTGGTTGTCTGCATTTAACTCTTGTTGCTTGCCAGCGAAATCAAGCATAAGCTCATGCAAAGTTGACATTTTGCTCTAATCATTCCCTAACGTATCAACGGTATTGGAACAAATTCCCATTCTCAGAACAAGCATTATAGCAGAACTGACTGTACTCTTTTTTTAAGCATATTTTACATGCAGTAAAATGTGCAGGAAACTAAAAAACTGATGCTCAAGCTTAGAAATTACTTAGGTCCTTTGCTTCTGCTCTTCTTTCCTTCAACCACTTACTTTCAATTGTTGCTTATTAATGCCTCCACATCAAAGCAGGCACAGGTGGAAAGAGCTGACAAAACACAAATCAGTCAAGTCTCTACTTTTGGAAGCCAGGAAGAAAGCCTGAAGTTGAAAGTATTAACTAAGATCAGATTTTTTTTTTTTTAGAGTTTTAGTAGGTCTCAGTTCCTCAGCCTACTTATAGATCCCTGAGAAACTGGCTGTAATTAACTATCTTCAGTGCACTATGCAGAATTCTGAAAGAGTCCATAACCTATTTGACCAAATTATGACCCAAGAGTGCATTACTTGAAACAGGAAAAATTTTCTCTGACTTGAACAGGGAACACTAAAAGGTTTGGTTTGTGGCTAACAGGAAAAAAAAATGTTCAGAGTGCTGAAAAGTCTAATTTATTTTGTCAATTATACCTCAATAAATTTAGGAGGAAAAGAAAGAAAGTCTAATCTACTAAGTTCTATAATAAACACTGAGTTTTCCCATAATACTACTTTTATGTCCTCACTGACATGAGAAGCTCACACTGAAAACCATATATTTATGTCAAATATTCAAATTGGTAATGGCAGTTAGTGTCTAATCAAAAACGCTACTTTAAATTATTAATTAATATGATTTAATGTTTATTGAAATAATAGCAATTAAAGGTTAAGACCACATTTCAGAAACTTTTGGGATAGTGATTAGAAAAATAACCAATATGGGCATTGGTTTTTTTCAATAAAGCATCTTTCTACATAATTAGATTACTGAATGCTCTTTCAAAAGTACTAGTTGAATGGTCTATGAAACCCTGCCTTGTATAAAGTTAGCAATACTTAAATTATTTACCCCCTCAATCATAATTTATAGAAAAAAACATTCATGGGCCTCCATTTATGGCTTAATAATACCACTGACGGTATAAACATTTCAAAAGAGACAAACATTCTTTGGAGAATGCAATTTGTAAAAATTACCCTTATAGAAATTCCTTCCAAAACTATTTTACAACTACAATCTAAAAATCATTTATGTAAATAAAGTTATATTTACCTCTTGGACTTTTAGAAGGACTATAAATAACAAAGTAAATAAAATATCAAGTACACATACCACGCAAGCTTCCAGTAGTTAAAAGAGCTCGAGCTTTGTCAGCTAAATCACTATTTAGAGTATTTCCTAGTAGCAAAACATCAATGGCCTCTTGCTTGGAGCTGTCAAAGAAGTTATTCTGAATTGTTCTGGTAACAGAACGAGCACCATCTTTTAACTTTCCAGCCTGTTTGAGAGAAAGGAGCATGCACTTTCATTTTAAATATTGTTGTCTTACTCAGTAGGTATTTTGAAACTTGAAATCAGTTTTATATGATTTTAGTATTAAAAGGGTCTATTTTGAATATATAATCATGACAATTAAAACTGTCTCAAGATGTCAGTTTCCTTTCTTCTTTTGGATAACTGCTTGACATGAAGAAATGGAAAAGCTCAGTGTCACAATTGTATCCAGTAAAGACATCTAGAGCAGTAAATGCTTAGCACTGTTTATGATAAAGGAAATAAACTGAAGTATACTTATTGAAAACAAGGAAATTTCTTCTTACTGAAATTTTAATTTCAGTTAAAATTAAAACTGAATCTAAGAATTAAGGTCAAGTCTAAAAAGAAATTCATGATTACAGTTCATAAAAAATATTACATGCAAACTACTGCTGGTATATTTTGAGTCATTTTATTGCCTATGTAAATATAAATAAAATAAACTTATTCTTACAATTAGAGCTGATTATTAATGAACTGACTTTTAATGAACATACATTTTATGTATGTTAAAAGCTGACTTTTAATGAGCATACATTTTACTTAGGCACGTTAATTACCAAAAAGAAGGTTTATTTAGATCTTACAGATCTTGATGATTATCAAAAAAAACCCCAACTTTTTTCTTTTAGAAAATTTTAGTTTTCAACATGTAATTTTTATCCCCTAAAGGAATAACAGTAATTAGAGGCTTCTTTTCAGAATACAGAGTCAATTTTCTTAAATGCCACTAAATGAATGTCACTATATTTAATCAGCTATTTACATTTGGCATTAAAATGTTATTTCCTTCCATATGACAGAATATGCAAATGACATTATTTGAAAAGACACTCACCATTCACATTATCAGGCAATTAATCAAAAGGAACCCAGAGAAAGGAAAAGAAAGAGCAGTTCAGATGTTAGATTTTAGTTCAATTTAGACTAGTATATTTAATAAATAAAAATTCATATCTATATTAAGTTAAAGATAAAAGACTACTGAAAATATATGTAACCTCTGTACATATATTGCCTTAGTTACTGCAGAAACAAAAAAGTAGAAGAATATAAAAGAATATTTTAAGCAATGGTTGTAGAGAACCAGATTTTAATAGCAAGAATTATGTTCTCTATTTAAAAGGAATAAATGAAAGTTTAACAATTTCAGGTTTTCAAACATGAGGACCATGAACTGAACAAAACAAACTTTGCAGGTAAAGCCAACACCTCTGGGCAGAGGCATGGCATTTTAAGAGACATAAAGAGGAGGAAGATTTGGAAATTAAAAGAAAAGAAAACTTAGGGGCCAGGTACAGTGGCTCACGCCTATAATCCTAGCACTTTGGGAGGCTGAGGTGGGAGAATTGCTTGAGGCCAGGAGTTCAAGACCAACCTGGGCAACACAGCAAGATTCCATCTCTACAAAAAATAGAAAAATTAGCCAGGTGCAGTGGTGCATGCCTGTAGCCCCAGCTATTTGGGAAGCTGAGGCAGGAGGATCGCTTGAGCCCAGGAGTTTGAGGCTACAGTGAGCTATGATGATGCCACTGTACTCTAGCCTGGGAAACAGAGTGAGACACTGTCTCAAAAAAATAAAAGTAAAGATAAAAAATAAAACAAGACTTGGAGATAACAAATGGTCTTTAAAGAATTTCAGCTGCTATGTTGAAGCTGAATGAGAACTATACAAGTGGCAAATGTTCTCATTTCTATTCCTGAAATAATTTGAAGAATTAAAGATTTAGAATGTTAACAAATTCAAGTGAGGCCAGGACACTTAAAAAGTTAAATAATATTTAAGCATATAAAATAACAACAACAACAAAAAATCTCAAGTATGGTTCCAAAATCCCTCAACAATGGTCAAATATTAGAGGACAAAGTAGTCTGTAGATAATATTAGCAATTAAAAAGTAATGAGACTTTTTAATTATAACTAAGTACATATTTCACACTTACTTGGCACATTTTGATAGCCTCCTTTTCAAGGTAAGGTAAGTAAAAGGATAAATTATGCCCTAATGTTGGGTTCATAGTAGGTATCGCATAAATTGTCAATTGATTTATTTGTCCATCCAGCATTTGTCACATTTATTAAACAGTAGACACTGTGTCAAGTGCAGGGGACACAAAGCCAAATAAAACAGAACCCTTTATTGGGAGGACCTTGGTTAAAAAACATCATATTTATAATCAAAGCAAACAATATAAAAAGTGAAACAGATATACAAGGGAAAATCATGAAAAAATATAAGCAATACATATAGTCTTAGTGCATTATCACTAAATGACTAAATATGTCATATATACATACTCTCCAAACCTAGGGAAATATCTATCTTCCATTTAATCATTGTATCCACTGTATAAGGAAGTATCAGAGAAAGCACAAAAGCATAATAAAACAGAATTCTAAAACAAATATCTATTAAATTAAAAAAAACCTATTAATTAAAAAAGGCCATTTTAAAAACTTTATTAAAAGAGGAAAAAGAGGATCTTTTGTAATGTTATGACAGATCTAGATCTACCTTAGCCTTCCCTTCAAGAGCTCCAGTCCCGGCATATATCTTACTGATTGAATCACCATTCACAGACCACATTGACCGAAAAACTTCTTGAAAGCGGGTCACCAACTGAGGCTTTTCAGCTAAGCCAAGAGCTTCCATCTGTTTAGCTAGCATCTAAAATGGCAAAAGATACATGCAGATGCCAAGGGGGGATCAAAAAGAAAAAGATAAATAAATAAATAAATAAATAAATAAATAAATAAATAAATAAAACAGCAAACGAGAAACTTTTATAAGTATATTAATAATTGTGATATGACTTTTAAGAACTACCAGAATCAAACCAAAAATTAGGACTGTTTGGGACTGGATTTTGAAGCAACAGTTTACTAGGCTGTGTTATTAATATTTCCCACCATTTCAATTCTTAAAGTAAATACCACATCAAAGAAAACTACAAGAAACTTAATATTACCTTGTATTAATAAGAACTTCTTTCTGATTAAATGGTAAAATTAATCTTATTAAAATATCCCTATAAATCAGAGTAGTTTACCTTGCTCAGCTAAATGAAATAATAAACACCATGAAGTAGAATAGAGAAAAATATTTACCTAGTTTACCTAAATACATATGGGAATAACTAAATTTCTTTAATTTTTAGATTTGGTTTTATAAGTTTAAGTAATTAAGATCAAGACATTATAAAAAAAGAAAGAGCTGCTCTTAAATTGTCACAAAATAATAAGTATATAGCTTTGGATAAAGTCACAACAGCTTTTATGTATAAAATCTGTATCAGTACTATGTATAAGGAAGAACTACGGGAAACAGAGCGTGTGTGAATTCGAAGACCTTTGGGCTACCACAATTCCTTCATCACAGATAACAAAAGTGTTCATATGAGTTATTGATCTTTATCTTGTATGAATTATAGCCTTGAAATCTAGCAGAGTCAAAGCAATGTATAATCTAGTTTGTTTCTCCTATTTGGAATCTAGTCACATTCTATGCCGTGCATTTTTATGTAACTCCTTTCCATTTATGTTTTGTTTTACCTTATCTATAAGTATGGCTATTATCCATAATTATAGAAGAATTAAAAACTAAGATAATATTTTAAAAAACCCCAAACTGAGTTCATTTTATTAGGTAGAGACTTACACCAGAGCTGTTCTTTGCTAGCATGGAGAATAAAACAAACTGAGTCCCAGGGCCTCCTTTACAATTTAAACCTCTCTCTCTTCAAGGATTGAGCAAAATTATTTTATTTCTGTATTAGTTTGGCTTTGCCTATCTTAGCAGTAAATTTCATAACTATTCAACCAATTGCTATACTAGGAAGTATATTCATATCTACCTACCAACAGCGGAGAATCAGCTAAGTCAGATCCTGAAAACTAACATCTGTTACACTTTTAATAAAGAGGTTCGAGTACTTCAGTAAGTTTACTCTAAGAATTTATGTATCGGCTGGGCGAGGTGGCTCACGCCTGTAATCCTAGCACTCTGGGAGGCCGAGGCGGGCAGATTGCTCGAGGTCAGGAGTTCGAAACCAGCCTGAGCAAGAGTGAGACCCCGTCTCTACTATAAATAGAAAGAAATTAATTGGCCGACTAATATATAGAAAAAATCAGCCTGGCATGGTGGCGCATGCCTGTAGTCCCAGCTACTCGGGAGGCTGAGGCAGCAGGATCGCTTGAGCCCAGGAGTTTGAGGTTGCTGTGAGCTAGGCTGACGCCACAGCACTCACTCTAGCCTGGGCAACAAAGTGAGACTCTGTCTCAATTCATGTATCTAGCCCGGGAAACAGAGTGAGACTCTGTTCAGCCACTTAAAACCAGATCTTGAAACAAATTTGAGGCATGTGATAAACTCCATCTAAATGACCAACATGCCTCTTTTTACTTTCTTGTTCCTGTCATAGTTTCTAAATAAATTACTATGATAAACCTAAATGACATTATTTCAAAAAAGTCCAAACAGTAAAATTCATTTAGTTACACAAAAAATACATCTCTGTAGCAGAGAATTTTATACACTGCACTTTCATTTTTGAGACAGAAAGAACCTCAGCTGCAAAGTAACTAATTAACCAATATTCTGGCCAAATTTCAGATCATTAACTAGAGAAAATAAGAACGTGTTACTTCCGATTCCTGGTTTTTTTTTAATATTTGAAAACTATGCTAAGTTCATATCCACCACAGCCTCATGACCCTAACTTGCATACTATGGAAAGCTCAGCACTGCTGCAAAGTTTGTACAATAGTTGAGGCTATGTTTATATTAGACTGAATTTGATGGAAAAGTGGTAAAGAAAAAAAACTTTTAAACAAAGACCTTATCAGAGAAGTTGATTCATTCATTTTCATTCTAATGACGGCATTTTCATCTGATCCTGTTTTTTTGTAGGTACTCATTTGAATACATCGAGAAACTGGACTGGGTTACAAACGGTCAAAAATAAAATCCTACAGAATTGCACATGTGAAAACAGACCCTCACCATCCTACGACAGATTTTTAAAAGACAACACATAATAAAAGGCCAAATACATATATGTCTTTTCAAAAGACAGGAAAAGCAGCAATTGTCATAATAGTAGTAAATAGACAGTAGTTTTAAAAAGAGAGCGTTACAGAAAAACAGAAGAAAGTAGATGGACAGCTATCTAAAGAGAATATAAAGGGCAGGTGAAAGAAACATTTAAATCAAAAGGGAATTTGGCAAAAAAAAGACTAAAGAATGCCTTTAATGAAGCGTAACTTAATTTATTTTTTCTGAAAAGTAACTAATGAGAAACATAATATTACAAAAGCACTCAAAGGGGCATATGATACAAGGCACATACATTTTAATTTATTTTTTACCTCTAAGCCAAGAAATGCTTGCACACTATTTGTTCTATCAAGACAATCCAAGCAGTTTGTTCGAACAGTACCACTCTGGCATCTGTAACAATAAAGTTACACTGCTAGTTTAGAACAAAACTAAAGCTAAAACAAACTAAGAATAATTGAAGTGATTAAAATATAGTGCCCACTTTCCCCCTCCAACATTTTATTGTTAAAATTTTCACATATACAAAAATTTTCAAATATTCAAAAAAAGATGAATTATACCATGAACATCCATACATTCACCATCCATATTCTACAACTGTTAACATTTCACCACATATTCTTCATCACACACTTTTTTTTAATTAGGCAAGTAGTTAGGAGCTAACTCTGTACAATAATCAAATATTTATGGAAAGAAATATTTCTTAAATTTTAGATCTTAGATTTTGAAAAATCTAAAATCTGTTATCTCTACCGACTAACCTACAAGATTTTTAAGGCATGGATACTAAAATATTATACAAGTTGAAAAAAATTAAAAATTTGAGACTTGTTCACTAAAGTTTACCTCATCCGATATTCTGCACTTAAATCTTTCAATATTTATTTTTCTTCTCTATTTTACATACAAAAACTAAAGATGTAAATTATACTAGAGCAGACAGTAAGCAATTTCTTTTACTTCTATTTAATAGTTTTCACTGAGGTCAAGAAATAGTAAAACATTAATCTCAAAAGAGAAATGAAATAGCTTCATAGTTAACAGCATGAGGTATGGCACCAGACAAATTCTAGCTCTAGTACTTCTAGTTAAGTGATCTCTAGCAGATTATAGCCTCTGCCTCAATTTCCTCAAATGTAAATGGGCTTAATAGAACTTTTCCCTATAGTTGCTGTTGATACATGTAAAGATTAAGTACACTGCCTGCCCCATAGTATGTGCTTAATCATTTAACCTCTTATTATTATTTGCTGAAAGAAAAACAAGCCTAAAATCAAGTATAAAAGATATTTAATTATAAACCTGAATTTAAAAAGGAAATTTAAAAGTTCAATATTAAGAATCATTTTAAAATTATACCAAAGTTCTAATTTAAAAACAGAGAAGTAGAGCAGTCAAACCTTTGAACTTCATTTCCATTGAAATAAAAAAATCCATAATCTAGAAACTTCTGGACTTGAGGTTTAAGAACACTATGTAATTTTTCTGCCTTTCCTCCTTTAACCATTTGATGATAGTCAAAATTCACCATCTGGATATCAGCAGCATGTTCAGAAGCTTTCAAATGACTCTGAAAGTAAAAAGGAAAATATTCATCTAAATGTTAACTAAATAAGATCTTACTAATATAATGTTACAAATGAAACCTTACATTTTAAATTAAAACTTCAGCATGGTCTTGAGATTTCACTAATCCCACAAAACTTTCATCAACAATGGCAGTAAAATGGAAAAGTACATGCTAATACCTAAAGACATCTTTTCCCTACAATCTCATGTACTATCCCTGAGAGATATGGTGATATAATTAACATCAGGGAATTTAAATATTATTCTTTTTTTCCCATTCCCCCACCTAAATCTGGCTTAGAAAATGAAAAATTATTTCTAATCACCAGCATTTTATAACACAAATTTAATAATTGCTTATACCTAAACTCAAATTAAAGTATCTTGTTTAAGACAAAGCCTATCAAAGACTGAATTATTCATTTTTTATACCTTCATTAAAAAATATACAAATATTTTTTAATTTTACCATAAAAGGTTACGCTCTAAAGTGTAAGCTGTTTATTAACAATATTTCAAAAGGTTAGAAAAATAGCTAAATAATTAGGTTACTTTTGGATTTATGAAATTTAACTTTGAAAAATATTTTCCAACCATTTGATTTAATTTAAATTTATAATCTTATATAACACCATAATTTATATTAATCCATTATTGATTCAATAAGTGCTCATTAAAATATTTTTCCTTAGAAGTCAGGCATTTCTTTGGGTTCTTTTGTACTTGAAATTCAAGTTTTCACTCAATAGAAAATGGTATAGCCTTGCATGTTACATAAATGCATTATTCACAATTTCATAGGCTTATAACAATGACTGTGGTTTCTAGGAAGTAGGCAAGGCAATGAACAGGTGAAGAAGGAATCTGTCTGATGTTTCTCTGCTAGTGATAGATGATCATTTTGGTGGGGATGGTATTTTTCTGTTTCTCTACAAAATAAATATGCAGATTAGAAAATAGTGTCAATTGCCTTGAAAGCTTTCCATAATCCCAATATCAGCAACATTAGCTTAAACCTAAACTGTTTCCTAATAGCCCCAAAGAGTTAAAAGTTCCAACAAGTACCCAACCTTCTTCTAGGAATTAATTTACTTCCTGGGGAAGAATTTGATTATTGTATTATTTTATTTTTTTAATACCATTCCAGATGTCCATGGGCCAGAACAAAAAAAGAAATGATGTACTTACCTGGAAAGCCTTACTGAGCATATGTTCACCTTCCTTGGATCCAAGCAAATTTACTATTATTTGTTTACCATATAAATTCTTAAGTGTTCTAAAATGCCTATTAAAGAAAGAAAGGAAATAAGCATATGTCAAATGATATGCCTAATTTTTTTTCAATAAACAAGAATCCATTATTAAACAGAATCGATATGGCAGTATTTCAAACTCACAGAATTGGCAAAAATGGGTAAAAATTCATTGTACATGGTCTTAAAACTCTGAATTTATGAAAAATCATTAATGCAATTTCCTCTCTGAATTATGGGTGCTAGGACTCCCACTTCTTCTGGAGCCATGGAGGCCTCCAGCTCCCTGCCCACTCTGTGAGGCTGGCACAAGACAAGACAGACACAAGCCTTCAGCTTGGCTAGGAAAGCAGAAAGGGCAGATGGCGAAGGCTGCACCTGATGTGTGAGGAAATAACATACTCGGTGAGCATTCATAGGGACCTCCTTACTAACTCTAGCTGCTTTCATTAAAATAGGCCCCAAATATGAATCTTTTTCTCTCCAGCTTCCAACCATTCCAAAAGCTATGTAGAGCAATGACATACAAAGGAAATATAACATGAGCCGTATATGTAATGTTAAACTTTCAAGAAGATACATTTTAAAAAGTAAAAAGAAACATAAAATTAAATATATTTTATTTAACTGAACATATCTAAAATATCATTTCAACATGTAATCAATATAAAACAAATACAGTTGGCCCTTGAACAACGTGAGTTTGAACTGTGCAGGTCCACTTACATGTGAATTTTTTTCAACCAAACAAGGATTAAAATTACAGTATTCTCAGACGCATGCAAAATCCAAGAATATGAAGGGCTGACTTGAAGGCCGACTTTTCATATACATAGGCTCTACAGAGCCATCTGTGAGACTTGAGTATGCACTGATTTTGGTATGGGGGAAGGTGTTTCCTGGGACCAATCCCCCATGTACGCTAAGGGATAAATATACTAATGAGATCTCTTACATGTTTTTGTTTTTTTGCACTGTCTCTGAAATCTACTGTGCATTTTATGCACTTACAGCATATCTCAATTAGGACTAGTTACATTTCAAGTACTTAGTAGCTACATGTGGTTAGTGGCTACTCTACTGGACGACATACCCACAGAGGAAGTTTTAAGGCCAAGAAATCAAGATCCACACTTCAGCACCATCACAGAAGGAGACACAATAATGGTGTCACAGTTTTCCAATTAAATTAGGAGTCAGAAGGAAGCCCAAATTGAAGCTTACTTCAAGCCCAAATTGGAATTAATCAGTAAATATAACTAGTCTCACTGCTTAGCCACATCAAAAATTACAGGATTATGTAAAAATAATCAGTCATACCTGTCAAAAGCAGGTGCATTAGCTTCAAATCCCCTTGACATACGGACACGATGAGATCCCACCTTAGACAACAAAAATACATTTAATCATACCGAAAACCAACATATAGACAAAAGAAATACCACTGCTTACAATATGTAACGAACACAAAGTGATTCATTAAATAATTGATTTTCATTCATGATATTCTTTTTTTTTTTTTTTGCCCGGTCTAGAGTGCCGTGGCATAAGCCTAGCTCACAGCAACCTCAAACTCCTGGGCTCAAGCAATCCTCCTGCCTCAGCCTCCGGAGTAGCTAGGACTACAGGCATGTGCCACCATGCCCGGCTAATTTTTTCTACATATTTTTATTTGGCCAATTAATTTCTTTCTATTTTTTTAGTAGAGACAAGGTCTCAATCTTGCTCAGGCTGGTCTTGAACTGAGTTCAAACAATCCACCCGCCTCAGGCTCCCAGAGTGTTAGTATTACAGGAGTGAGCCATCACGCCAAGCCCATGATATTCTTTAAAAAAAAAAAGTTCCAGGGGATTCCCCCCACTTTTATTTTTTAAAAAAGCAACCTCACCTAAAAAAAAAAAAAAAAAAAAAGAATTACAAGTTACACCATTGTGCAACTTGTGAAATACTTGTAAACCAACAGGGATTTTTATTGATGAAAGATATTTGTAAGAGCGCTTTTCTATGCATTACCTTGTTTTAAGCTCAAACTACCTGCCCTATGTAAGTTAACAGATATAATCACCATTTGGGTAATAAAAAAATGGAAATACATACAGGTAAAATAACTTGCCCTCTTAGATCAACATAACTAATCCCAAAAGAGATTCAGATTAGATTTTATGTCTCTGACCTAAATTCCTATTCTTCCAAGCTGACTACCAGTACAATGTCTTCTGTGTTTTATTTTCTGCTATGCTGAATACTCTACCTCTCCCTTTCTAAAAGTTCTCTCAAATTAAAAACATCATTCCTTCCTAGAAAATTATATCTTCCAAGTCAATCCTGTAGTCACAAAACTATAGTAACTGCACATTTTGCAGAATCAGAAATTTTGGACTAAGAAAATTAAACAAAATATAAAATTTATTGTTATACTTTTTCTTTTCTCACATAGGAGAGTGACAGAGAAATGAAGAAGAACTAAGACCTAACAGATGCCAAAAAGAAATATATAGGTGAGACCAGATTATTTCCTTGACTTCACTTTAAACATTTCTCTCTGAGACTTTGGAATCAAAGTTGCCTAAAATTCATTCTTGCTAATCTATGAACAAAATGTCTTTAAAGGAGTGTGGGAGAAGGGTTGCGAAATTAATCATGCAGTTTGACAAATAAAACCAGAAAGTAAGTTGTAATGCTCATCCAATGCCAAAAGAGAATTAACAGGACAGTATTATTACTCATTAAGCATTTTTCTCCCCTGCTGTCCTAAGTCAGACAATCTAATGATTGATTAGCAATGGATTCTAATTTTTTAATAAGAAATTGATTAAGCCTAATGTCACATCTATATTCAATTTCATTTTGTAGTACTTAATAGTCTTCATGAAATTTTAAAATTTGAAAGATGTTTGCCCCAGGACATTAAGCATTTTGGACTGCAGAAAACTCACCACAAATTGGTCCTTTCTCTTAAAGTAATCCCAGATTAACTGCCTATAATTCTATAAAAGTTCAAGACTTAGCATTTTGTTTCTTAATATTTACCTTACATAGTACCAAAACTGTCAATAAGGTGAAAAAACACAAGTTCTCATGTTTTTTAGGTAATGCGTGTGGTTGTTTTCCACCACTCTGCTCCCTAATACATATATACACGTAGGTCCATATCATAGCTCTCACAGCAATCTATTGGTTAGACTTGACTAGGTTTATTATTCTATGTTAAAGGAAAAATTCTATAACAAAAGAGATGTGGTGAATTCTGATAAAAGTAGCACTTCAGAAAGTTTTAAGGCTTTAAATAACCACAATTTCATCCAATTAAAAAAGGGTTCATCAAAGATATTTTTTTTTTTTTTTGAGACAGAGTCTCGCTTTCTTACCTAGGCTAGAGTGAGTGCCGTGGCGTCAGCCTAACTCACAGCAACCTCAAACTCCTGGGCTCAAGCTATCCTCCTGCCTCAGCCTCCCGAGTAGCTGGGACTACAGGCACAAGCCACCATGCCAGGCTGATTTTATATATATATTAGTTGGCCAATTAATTTCTTTCTATTTTTATGGTAGAGATGGGGTCTCGCTCAGGCTGGTTTTGAACTCCTGACCTTGAGCAATCCGCCCGCCTCGGCCTCCCAGAGTGCTAGGATTACAGGCGTGAGCCACAGCGCCCGGCCTCAAAGATATTTTTTAAAAACCATTTAATTGTGTGGTATGAAACACTATTTTCCATCAATATTGTTGCTTCATGTTCACATATTTCTGAAACCAACCAAAACCAAATGTGTAGGCATAGATCTCATGATGTTTATCACTTTTTAAGACTTACTGATAAGATATAATTAACATAGTAATATAATATTAGAGTAATACTATAAATGTTAAATGCTAAAGTACTTCAGAGAAAGGAAATCATATGTAAAACGAGTTTCCAGCACTTAAAATATCATTCTTACCTCTGTAGTAACTTATAATAATTCTTATAATGCCTCAAATTCATGTTGATATTTACCGTTTCCATAAAAGACCTAATTCCCCAGATTGCAAGCTCTCTGTGAAGCATTGTTATAATCTTTGAAGCTCTCATTATACCTAGTATAATATAATATACACTGGAAGAACTCAAGTATTTAATGAAGAGATCAGTGTGGAGGAGTGACTGGAATCCATTCAATAAGATCTGAGTGGCTGTTGAAGGATAACAAACTTTAATTCTGGAAGTAGAGGATTCCTATTAGAAAATCGCAAAGCATGAAGTTGGATAAGCCAGATCATAGGAGATGGGTGCCTGGTAGATCTGACAAGCATACTGTATCAAATGTGGGAAAAACTGTCAGAGCTAGCAGGAAGGAGGGCCTAGAGGGATAGACCACTTAGAAAACTGTGAGTATCTTCCAGGCTAGAATAAATTATGAAAACCTTAACTGAGGATGATAGCAGTGGGAATAAAAAGAGAAAATCCAATGCCTACAGAATGTGGGGGCTAAGTATAACAGGGCTCTCTCTGCTTTCTCAGGACTGGCTGCTTCAAGGCCATTATAGCAGGATCCTTGCACAACGGAACTGAGTGGTAGAGAACTTGGTTAAAAATGCAGATTCCTGGCCCCATTCCAAAAGAAGAAAAGATCAACTTCAGTTGATCTGATCTTGAAACCAAGAATCTGCATTTTAAATCACTTCATTTAAATGATTCCTTTAAGATATTTTAATTTTAAAATGTTAGTGGAATTAATCATGGAGGATAAGATACAAGTCAAGAGACAAAGGATTGCCAAAGGATTTTCTGTCCATAACTTCTGAAGTGGGACACCTTTCTAGGTAAGACTAATTTTAAGGATCCCCTAAAATAACTCCAGTCTTCAGACTACACAAGATACCTAATAATCATTTACAATCACTCTAAGTCAAAAGTCCTTGTTTGCTTTTCATGGATAAATTGCCTTTGGATTTAGTATTTTTATTTTTAAAAATCAATTATTTTTCCAGTCTCTTAAAATCAATCATATTTTCATTCCTTTACTGCCTACTCTTTTGGAATATTTTGGAGAAAATATTTTGGTGTAAAAGATACCTATAAAACTAATCCATTCCTATTGACTGTAAAAACTACTAAGCTAAATGCTGTGGTTTGAATGTGTACTCCAAGTTTCATGTGTTAGAAACTTTGTCCTCAAATTTATATGTCAATGGCATTTTTGAGGTGGGACCTTTAGGAGGTGATTGGGTCATAAGGACTCTGCCCTCACGAATAGATTAATCCATTCATCGATTCATGAGTTATCAATGGAGTTGATTAGTTATCACAAGAGTGGGTCTGTTATAAAACCAGTTTGGCTGTCTCTTATAAGCCCTCTTGCCTTGTGATGCCCTGCACTGCCTCAGGCCTCTGCAGAGAGTTCCTACCAGCAAGAAGGTCCCACCAGATATGGCTCCTTGACCTTGGACGTCTCAGCCTTCATAACTCTAAGAAATAAAAAATTTGTTTCTTATAAATTACCGTTTCAGAACAGAAAATAGACGAAGACTATGATCCCCAGCCCCAAGGCCACAGACTGGCACCCATCTATGGCCTGTTAGGAATCTGACCACACAGGAGGTGAGTGGTGGGTGAATGAACAAATCTTCATCTGCATTTACCGTAGCTCTGCATCACCCCATATGTGCCGCCTCCTGTCAGATCAGTGGTGGTGTTAGATTCTCATAGGAGTGTGAACCCTACTATAAACTGCACACTCGAGGGATCTAGGTTGTGTACTCCTTATGAGAATCTAATGCCTGATGATCTGAGGTGGAGCTGAGGCAGTGATACTAGCACTGAGGAGTGGCTGCAAATACAGATTATCATTAGCAGAGAGGTCTGACCACATAATAAACGTAATGTGTTTGAATCATCCTGAAACCAACCCCATCTCCTCATCCTATGGAAAAATTGTCTTCCATGCAACCAGTCCCTGGTGCCAAAAAGGTTGAGGACTGCTGGACTAAGACATTAAATAACTAACAAAACCACTGACCTAATACTCAATCCAAATCAAGTAAATAATAGGCCAGTTCACTGACAATTTGGCAGAATTATTGGACTGTCTCACTGTCTCAAAAATTATAATCTTGGCCCGCACTGTGGCTCACTCCTGTAAATACTAGCACGTTGGGAGGCCAAGGCAGGAGGATCCCTTGAGACCAGGCAGACTATCTGTATGAGTAGGTCACAGCATACACAAGGAAGTAGTAAGGAAGTCCCACCCAAGGAGGACTCTTATGTAACTACTCAGGATCCAACCTTATTGAATAATCAAACATTGTAATTTTGAACTTCTTAACAAAATAACACAGAAAACAATATAGCACGGGGCATATAAATAGGTTATTAGAATCTCTTAAACTAGCCTGTCCCTAAAACAAAAACATTAAACTTCTATCAAATCAGGGTTTTAGGAATGTTCTTAAAGCAAATATTCCAAACACCCATTGCTGATCATGAAAGCTTAGGAAAAGTAGAGTTGGGTTGGGATTCTTTTCTATGGGAGATTTGGGGAGAGATATATCTATTTAAGTTACCCCTACAAGCCAAAGATAAAACAAGTCAAACCGGTCTTGGTCTTGACAAGAACTCAAGAATTTTTGCAGAGCAGTGCAAGTGTTAATCCTTGTTAACTCTTGGCCTATCATGAATGAAATGTATTACTAATGTTCAAGTGTTCAAGTGGTCTGTAATTTTTCTCCACAATACCCAACCTAGAATGTAAGAGATCCAGCAGTAAACTAAAAGGAAGACTTTTTTTCTTTCCCTTTTCTTTGGACTATATATACCTACAGGCCTAAAATAAATATGACATACTTTAGGGACTAAATATTTGTGAATAAAAATAAAATGCAAAATTATACTATTATGAACAATCCAATATTATGACTTTACATTTTTAAAAATCTTTTATTTTATTTATTTATTTTTTGGTAGAGACAGGGTCTTGCTATGTTGCCCAGACTAGTCTTGAACTCCTGGACTTAAACGATCCTCCCACCTTGGCCTTTAGCCACCACACCTGGACCTTATATTTTAAAAATTAGTCATTTCAAAAAAGGCAGGCTTAAAAAATTATCAGAAAACAAGTCAGAAAACATACTGAAGATGACAGGTTACATATAAATTATAAAATAAAATTGTAGTAGTAGATATATCATTGATAACAACAACAATTGCTAATCCTTACATGCTGCTGTAAGTGCTACTCTAAGTGCTTTTCATTTAATCCTTACAACTCCATCAAGTTAGCACTACTAATATTATGCCCATTTTACAGACAGGGAAACAGGAGGGTTAAATCACTTGCTCAAGATCATATAGCTAGTAGTGGTAGAGTAAGGATCTCAATTCAGAAGTCTGATTTCCAAGGCCCCTCTCCCCTTTCCCTCCCCCTCCCTCCTCTCGCCTCTCCCCCTGCTCCCTTCCCCTCCCCTCCTCTCTTCTTTTCTTGAGACAGACCCTCACTCCCTTGCCCTGAGTACAGTGCAGTGCCATGGTGTCATCATAGCTCACCACAACCTCAAACTCCTGGGCTCAAGCAATCCTTCTGCCTCAGCCTGCTGAATAGCTGGGAATACAGGCACATACCACGATGCCTGGCTAATTTTTCTGTTTTTAATAGAGATTGTGTCTCATTCTTGCTCTGGCTGGTCTTGAACTCCTGAGCTCAAGCAATCCTCCCGCCTCAGCCTCCTAGAGTGCTAGGATTACAGGCATGGGTGTAAACCAGCCACTGTGACCAGCCCCAAGGCTTTGTTTTAACTACTACATTCTTCTACCTAAAGATAATAAATTGTTATACACTAAGATAATAAAATAATAAATATGGAATCACTTTGAGTATCAATGTGCTATAAAAACATCAAAATTTTTAATATTAAATACAACAGCTGAATTCCTATGGCTATTTGAAAGAGCATTAAAGGAAAAAAATACCTAAGACAATTCCAGGAACTCTATACTCAGATCCTTATTTTTATGAATCTAGCAAATATTATTAGATAGAATAGTGAAACTATGGTCTATGGCCATACCACCCTGAACACACCCTAATCTCATCTGATCTCAGAAGCTAAGCAGGGTCAGACCTGGTTAGTACTTGGATGGCGAATACTGAAACTACCAATGAATTGATGAACTATCCTAAAAGTTTAGAAAATATGGAAAATATCAAAACAATAAAAAACTGAGAATCAAACACATACTTGCAACCCTGGTTGCTCCCAGAACAATGGAACAGATCCTCGGATTTGTATGAAGGAAGAAACAGAGTCATCTAAGTACACAACCTAAAAAGAAAAATAATATGTGAATTATTTCCATATAAAAGGTTATGTCTATATTAGAAAAACGAATTTACTAAAATCTGTTGTATGTTATATTTTATGTTCTATTTCTCCTATATATATAACTGTCCTAATCAAAATAGCCAAAATAGGCCACTAAATGAGCTTTTAACCTTTTTTGCAATGAGTGATATTAACCAAAGTAATAGTAAAAATATAAGCATAAGAATCACAACTTTTAAAAAGGAATTTCTTTTAAATCTCAATATTTTACATACATATATTTCATTTAATTTTTCTTTAGTTTTTTTATATTTTTTGAACTCTAATTTGAAGGTAAGTTGGGGTAGGGGTGTATTCTGAATTTACAATCATATAGTTTCATAGCCAAAATCATAGCTTCTAATTTTTAGATGGTATACATACCTACCATTAAGAGTTGGGTTTGATTCAATTTCACAAAAAAACACTTAAGTTGTCTAGCTCTATATAATTGAGGATTTTTAAATTCAATACCAATACATACAACATTGACTATGTCATGCTGACCAGTGACTATCTTGTTACCTATCTGAAGAATCATATCAAAATAAGTTTCTTCTAGTGAAGCCTTTTTTAAAGCCAATAAGTAACCAACGACAATCATAAAACAATACTATAGATGTCAAATGAGTTCTGAATCAAATAAAAATCTGTTATTCTAATATTTTCTGTGCCTTTCCTATAATACACAAATTAAGCAATATAAAACACTATATACCTGTTCTGTTTCTACAAAATTGGCAACGTGACCATCATCATTTGTTCCCCGAACATTAAACCTAGTCCCAGCTCGTTCACAGCTTAATCTTGAAATGAGGCAAGCCTTTGCCTGTTTATGAGCAGCATAAATTGTTCTGATTTCTACTCCTCCACACATGAGGCGTAATAACCAGTCGTCACAATTCACACCATAGTGCTTGAGATGCAAATGTAAAGACTGATTCCTAACAGAAAAAGAAATAAATGTATTAGCTTTTTGAGTATTAAACAACAAAGTATAAATTTTAAAATGGTGCTTAATTAATTAAACATTAATTTAATGTTGTTAAATTAAAAGGCAACAAAAATAAATCAGTTCATTTATATTTACTATGCTAGGGATCAGAAGATAAAGCTATACAATGAGATTCTTCAACATATTGCCCATGTCCATAGAAAATAAGCATTTTTGTGTTTTTAGTGTCTGTGCCTCATTTCTGTTATGTCTTTATGTAAAATGTATTTATAACCTAGCTTGTTCCAAGAAGGGTTATATATACACATCCCCACCCCACTTTATAAAGCTCTATTTTTAAGGCCTCAATTTTATAAGGCTCTATTTTAATTTAAATAACCAGATGTGGCTAGTGACTACCGTATTAGAGAGTGCAGACCTAGGATTCACTCCAAATAATTTAAGCATTCCAGGTAACAGATGGGGCCTGGTTTCCAAACTTATTCAGGAAAAGAAGTTTAATTCACACAAACACACAGAAGCCTAATGATTACAATACAAGATAAAAGAGTCACCAGGGCTAAAGCAGGTTGGGAGTTGCAGCCCTGCCAGGTTGCCCTTCTCACCTATCACCACTCATAGGTCTCTCCTGGAACTTTAGTCCTCCACAGAACATACTAAAGCTTCTAACCAACCTACCACTAAGAAAAATATATTGTTAAGCAGAAAAACTCTATCAATTTAAAAGTGGATTTTCCATATTATTAAAGCTTGGTTCTCTGGGTTTTAAGTAGAATTCTTAACCACTCTGTACTACCTGTCTTAAGGTCTAACAAATGCATTAGCATTTTCTTGAAGACTCAGAGCAGTAGTTCTCAGCTCCCTGACTACCACTTAGATTATGGGCTGCAGTAGAGATAAAATAGGTGCTGGTCACATGCCGTTCTGGGAAACCAGCTATGACCTCAACCCCTCTTATCCATCCAAGAAAGCATACAGGACTGTAAATGAATAACTAGGATAATGTTAAATCTGATGACTATTACTAATTTTAAAAATATTAATACATTGACTTAAGTTTCCATACTTTTACCATTACCTACATTGATCTGAGGCAAAGTTCACATTGATTGTGACGTGGTACGGCCAGACACCACAGTGGAGTGCCATAATGTCATAATGAAGGTATAAAATACTTGTCCGCTATTTCAATAGACCTAGATCCTATACATTTTTTGCAGGCAGAGCTTCTTCCTCTGCCTTCTTCCTCTGCAGTTTTCATGATGGGTTTTGTGGGTTTTGTGATGATTATTTGCCACTCTTTGACTACAAAAATTACTTGGCTGTATCCTGGAAAATATTTCTACTAAGTGCAATGGTATGCACGATGAATTCTAAAAGTTTCCATTTTTTCTGTGCAAAGTGAAGCTTAAGAATGCCAATCTTAGATGGGTGCTGTGGCTCACACCTATAATCCCAGCACTTTGGGAGGCAGAGGTGGATCACTTGTGGCCAGGATCTCTTGAGACCAGCCTAGGCAACATAGTAAGACCTCATCGCTACAAAAAATTTTTTTAAAAAATTAGCTGTGTGTGGTAGTATGTACCTGTAGTCCTAGCTACTTAGAAGGCCCACCCAAGAGGACTGCTTGAGCCTAGGAGTTTGAGATTGCAGTGAACTATGACCATACCACTGCAATCTATCCCAGGAGACAGAGACCCTGTCTCAAAAAAAAAAAAGCCAATTATGAGCAAAATTGTAAAAATGATAAAATAAGTAAAATTCACCTTTGGTGTTTTAGCCACCCCTTTGTTCAACCTGTCTCCTACTGGACAAATCCCCTCAGGCTTGCTTTTATTTAAATTTTTCCCCATCTTAACTCTTCATTGAATGAAAAAACAAATTATTCCTACTGATTAAACTTAGGATATAATGTATCTGCACCTGCTTAGACTTCTAATTATTGCGGAAAAGGTTTTACCTCTCAATATAAGAAATTTGGGGTAGGAATGAGGAGAGAACAAAATAGTCAAGACAGCTGCCCTAAGCACACCTGCAACATGTTTACCTTTTCTAAGCGACTTCAACCTCTTTCACTAGAAAAAGTGCAGTGCTGACACAGTTTTAACTCTTGGAATCCTAGTTCCTAATGCCAGACAAAAGTTAATAGGGTAACATCCCATCGTTACTAGCTTCTCTAAGCAGACAGGACCTTACATCCATTCACTACCCTATTAATCCCTTTATTCCCTCCCTCCTTACCTCCCTCTCCCCCACCCCTTTGTCTCCTTCCTGTCTCCTCCTTTGCTAAACCCAAGTCTCTAACATACAGGACTCTAAACCTGTTTTGTATTCTGCCCTCTCTCCTCCCTCATTCCACTACTCTGGGTCTAGACACTGCCACATGAGCTAGAAGTTGACCAAACTGTTGCTCTAAAGTTAGTTTTTTATCCTAAGGTTAACTTTAAGCTCTCCGACAGGTAGGAAAATGGGACATACCTGAAAGTGCTTTTCAAGACCCATATAAGTGACAGTGTGAAAGGTGAAAGTGTGAGAGAGAAAATCGAGGAGGAATGACACCTTGATTCTGAACAGTTAAGGGAGGCCAAGAGCAGAGGGTCTTGAACTTTGGCCTTATAACATATTTCCATATAATGAAACATAATTTGCACATGGTAGTAAGGAAAAAAGTCAACATCAGTGCTGGCTGTAGACAACACAACCACTATACTAGAAATGCGGTCTGCTACAATAAAGCAATACTAAGTATAGTCCCATGTGTTCTGCTCACCATTCATGCCTACTTACAATACAGCTCAGTTATGCATAATCATGAAACATATCACAGCTACCTACGTAAGTTCTATCTTATTATAGTACTGGTCCTTGTCCCAGTGTCCCAGTATACTACTACTTCACAATCTGTTGTTCTTAAATCATGATCATCTACTTAAAACCTTAAAATAAAAAGTAAAGGAATGTTGGATTAGGAAGGGAATATTGTCAGAGATAAGATCTCAAAACTAAGCATAGTAGATATGAATAACATAGTTTTATTACGATTAAATTCATTCCTAAACTTAAAACAAATATTTTAAATATATTTCTAAAATGAAAGGTCAGTTGAGATCAAGAGAAGCAAATGGGTTTCATGTCAAATGCCAACTTCAATAAACTGACTATAACTACCTGCCACACTCTGCTGAGGATTATGGAACAGGAAAAAGGAGAATGCTCAATTAGCAAAGTTATCTCTGGAAATAGCAACTGTTGAACTATTATGCTCCAAATCACCAAGCTATTACACAGCACATGATTAAAAAGGGGAAAAAATAAAAGACAAACTCACCAGAAAAATCTATTATCAGTTGTCTGTTCTTGCATGCTACGATGTGCATTAAGACTCAGATCTAAACTGATGCCAGAGGCAGACCAGGCAAAATAAAAGTTTCCTGAATTCAAAACTTTTCGCACTTCTGAAATGCGATCTTCATCTGAAGAATCGATACGGAGTGATATAAACTCAGTGGAAGTAACTCGGAACACTTCAGATTCTTGAATTTTTCCAACAGACATACATCCCGTGACTAGGACCAGATAATGTAACATAGTATCTCCTGCAAAAAACCAAAGATTTTATTGAATGAAAAATCCCAATATTTTTGAAGCTACTCAGTTTCTTCTTTCCTCTTGTATCTCTATCTTTTAAATCTGACACTGTGATTATTTTAAACTTATGGATGTGTTTAAACTCAAAATTAGATTTTTCTAGTTGAAAAAACATTGCTGTTTAAATATTTTAAGTATAAGCATTTAAACATTAATAGGATAATCTCACACTTATGAAATTGTTTCTCTGCTTAATCTGAGGCTGTAAAAATTTATCAATTAAAGTAAATAGGCTGGGTGCGGTGGCTTGCGCCTATAATCCTAGCACTCTGGGAGGCCAAGGCGGGAGGATCGCTCAAAGTCAGGAGTTCAAAACCAGCCTGAGGAAGAGCAAGATCCCATCTCTATTAAAAATAGAAAGAAATTAATTGGCCAACTAAAAATATATAGAAAAAATTAGCCTGGCATGGTGGCGCATGCCTGTAGTCCCAGCTACTGGGGAGGCTGAGGCAGAAGGATCACTTGAGCCCAGGAGTTTGAGGTTGCTGTGAGCTAGGCTGATGCCATGGCACTCACTGTAGCCCAGGCAACAGAGATTCTGCCTCAAAAAAAAAAAAAAAAAAGGTGTTACATTCTCTACCTTCCCTTTATCAGTGTTAGGAAGTTCAGATAAGATAATCAATGTGAAAGTTCTTTGCGCAATTGAAAAAATGGTATATAAATGTGAGCTGATAATGTTGATGCTATATGGGCAAAAGTCCCTGGTAACAATTTATAATGCATTTTGATTTACAAACCTTTCATAGAGATTTATTCTCTAATTGTGGCAAAAGCCCTTAAAATATGAACTTGAAATTCAGCAGATGTATTTTGATCATGGGCTTCGACATAGGCAGAAATAGCCCTTCATTTTGGCTCCCCTATTTATTTTCTGGATCAATTTCAGCATGTAACATAACCAACCTGAGATATCATCCCTTATGAAAAAGAATTAAAACAAATACCTCACTAGACTGTGAGGATCACCTAAGATGAATTAGCAAAGCACCAGTATTTTACATGTGAAAGATTCATAACAAATGTCAAATCTCCATTTTACAGACTAGTGCTTCTCAAAGTACGGTTCATGAACTGTTACCAGCTCATAATGAGAAAAGATGCTTGTACCAGAATGGAAATCAATTATATCACCAAGTTCACCATACTAGCTAACTTTTTTTTTTCATAGTAAGACTTTATTAATAAAGGAAGCCAAATGTTGATTTGCATGAGAATGCAAGCCCCTCATCTCATCACAGACCAATAACAAAACAATTCATGTCTTTGGGCCACACTGATTCACGCCATTACAGACAAACTGGTAATCACAAACGCAACTCTACAGTCCATGGTGACATTAAGTGGCAGAGACAGGCTCAAGCTGAAACCTTTAAATCCAAAACAGATGCCTTTCCCACCATAAACCGGGGAAATCAGTGTGCTTCTCATGAAGACACCTTTTCCTAAATGTATTCAGCAAACAAAAAGAGCAATGCTTTGATTTTCTTTTTTGACAGTTGATACCCATCTCTCAGTGTTCAAACCAGAGACTATCTCTGGAAGTTAAAAATCATTAAGAGCTTGACTGAGCATGCAGCATGATTTTGGGGCAATAAACATTATCACAAGATTAGCTAAATTAAGGTTTAAAATATGTTACCACATTTATAACTTGAATAGGAGTCTGAAATATTATATAGGTAGAATAACAAAAGTAGAAATTTAAAAATGGATGAATTATATTGAATAATAAACTTACCAAGATTTAATCGTAAAACACCTAAGAGTCCATATGCATCCAGTACTTTGGAGTATGTACCCTTGATTGCCTCTTTTTCTGCAGATGCTACAAAAGAAGTTTTAGGTTAAGAATGACCTGAAACACCAGATTCTATTAATATTCAGCTGTAAAGCCAGAGTTCCAACCAAAAATGTCTAAATCTGATATTTTTTAAAATCCTAAATTAACATAAATGTATTGCATGAAGTATTTTCTCAAACTAGTAACTCTTCTTCCCAAAGAGTTAACAAATTATTTCAGAAACATCTATTAATTAATTCATTCTCTATTACTTATTTGAAATTTATCTTATTCATCCTTTTATCCCTGACACTTAGAATAGTGCTTGACACATAGAAAACTGACAACACACTAAATGATGAAAGTTAATGGCAATACCTGACTACACAATTTAGTACAGGAATGGAGAAATTTGAATCTGAAAGGACAAAAGTCTGGCCTTTGTCTTATTTCTTCTGTTATAAAGTTAATGTTATCTTGCTAATGAAAGTAACCACAGAATATTTTCATGAGGGCAGGCTGTTGTGGTTGTTCTATTGGGAAGAAAAAAAATAATAATAAACAAATCCTGAAACTTTAAAGGAAAAACCTTCCTAGTATTTAGCAACCACACGTGAAAAATTTGGCAAAGGACCAAGGAAATATAGCAATTAGTATGTCAAAAGACAATTACAATAATATATTCTAAAGTATGCAATTTAGAAAGGAATGATTCCTTCCTTTCCTTCCAGGTTTCTTTCTTTCTCCACTGCCCTTCCTTATCCATTCCCCACCCCACACCCAACTCACCTCTTGGCTGACTGGTCCACTCCTTATTTACTTACCTCTTACCTCTTGCACTTATCCCCTTTCCTTTACCTCATTTATCTAGGACATAAGACCTTTGAGCAATACTTGTGTGTTCCATGTTAGAAAGTCATTAAAAGATCTTTATAATCTTCTCATTTCCTGCCCATCTTTATTGTCAACAAAAGGGGCCTTTTCAGATTACTGCTTTGCTTAATACCCCTTTGTACTTTTCATCAGAGTTCTTTTCCTTTGCCTAGAAGCTCTTCTCCAGGATTCTAGAGAACCTCTCACTTTCCCTGCCTGCTTCACTTCTTTTCAGATCATCTACTCTTAAACCTTCTTCCTAATGATCTCACTTTTGCCTTCTAGTGGGTTGTACTTTGCCAGCTGGCAGCACAGGCTAAGACTAAATGACTCAATCACTCAATCAGCTGACATTTTCACGATTCTCTAATATGTTCATTATTAAGTGTGGGCCTTTATCAAACCACTTAGTACAAAATCAGGGAGCAGAGATTTCACCAAGCCATTAAAGTTTTGTGGATTTGCATCTTTCTGTATTCCTAGAATTCCTATTATTATTATTATACCATATGTTTACAGAACAGTTACTCCTAACATTCCATGACAAGCAACACAAATATAAAACATCACAACATAAATTTTAATTATACTTTATAAAGTAAAACAGGATTGCCTTCCCCTAAATACTGCCTTGTCAAGAGTATCACATGCATACAAAACGTTAGAGAGACTTGTTATATCTCTCATGAAAGAAGGCATGGCTTCCAGGATAATTATTCTACAGTTTTACAGGGTATATGCTATATGCATATAAAATACCATCACTAATACAGTAATATAGAAATTACTAGATATATCAGGTTCAGCAGCAATCATGATTCAGGTTCAAATAGCAGCAGCTAGTAAGAATTAAAAAGAAAATATATGCTTAATGTTAAGTCATCATCTGTCCTTAGAAAATAGAAAAAGTCATTCTATAAATTACCATACAACAAAATGTTCTCTTATAATAATGTATAATAATTACCTTCCCATTAACTGTACTACAAAATGTATGAACATGTCATATCTCTCAGGACCAATGAAGGGCTATCTATTATGTCAACCCAATTCAAACATGCAAACAAATACCTTGCAGGTTAATATTTACACTTCTGTATTACATTCTGAGACTCAGAGAACAGGATACACCATACTTTAAAGTATATATTCTTAGATAAAATTATGCTAAAGAAAGGAAAAAATAATTCAAAGAGTAAATGACATGGCATTTGTTATTTTCCCTACCAAAATCTTTTTATTCCCTTCAAAATTCTAAAAGAAAATTTAAAATAATATTTCAGCTTAGGAACTTGTATATTGCTTCTGTGATGATTATGACAGTAACTAACACTAGGCTGTTTTCATGCATTATTCAAATTTCACAACAACTCTATGAGCAAAATTACTACTCCTTCCTTTTGACATATGAGGAAACAGGCTTAGAGAGGTTGTCAGAGAATGCAGCTTCATGAGGGAAGGCATTCTGTCTAGTTCACTGCCCTATCCCCAACAGAGTAATAAGTGTCTGGCACTCAGTAGAGGTTTCATAATTGTATGTTCAATAAATTGGTGAACTAATTTTAAGAACTACATGAAAAAAAAAAAAAAAAAAAAAGAACTACATGAACTTTTAATTCCAGACACTTCCAATTTCACAAGAGAAAACAGTGTCTTCTTCCTAAGTATTTTTTTATCTGAAGGACGATAGACGTTCTTTTATTCATCCATATACGCTTCAGAGGTCAAAGTTGTGTGTAGAGAGGTCCAGTGCAGGTTGCCTGAGCCCAGGGAGAGTAAGGATGGTTCATGAATGGAGGTGAAGCCAGAAGCAAGAAAAGAGGGCATCTACTTGGGGGAGGGACAGCCTGGCATGAGGTGCTGCAGTCTGACTGGGGTGAGGAGGGGAGTGTCTACCCAGGAATGTTCGGGGTGGCCTGGCATGGTATGTTAGAACTTGAGAGGGATGGGGAGGGCAGGGTGTTGGAGACCAGAAGGTTGAGGAGGTCACCCATGTGGTGGAGGAGGCTACAGTGGCAAGAGGAGAGTAGTTATACAGGGGAATGATCAAGGATAATGAGAGTCAGGCTTCTCACTGTCAGAGAAGAGGATCACAAACAGAAAAAGAAAGCTAGTATGGACAATGTTGATTGGAATTGAGTTATCAGTGTTTTCTAGATAGACAGAAAATGAGAAACATAGATATAAATGTAAGTATTTATGTCATATACATACATATTTATATACACTCCTTAGCTCTAATCATTGACAGGACCTGGGATCTGCAATACTCTGATAGCAATGAGCATACCTAGCACCCATATCTTGGTTTCTAAATACCATTCTCCTCTAAAAAGAACTAGGATTCCATGAAGAAATGGCTGATTCCAGGGAAAATGCTGGAACAAAAAGAACCTGAAACATATTCTTGCACCAGAAAAGTAAGGAAGTGTTCACAGAACAATGGAGACATTACTAAACTGCAGAAGCCAGCTTGAAGGGGCTTCTACTGGCAAAACCAAGGACAATTTGAGTATCAAAATAAATAACAAGAGTAATGGATTACAACCTACTGAATAAGCCGACGAATTTCGAGTCTGATGAGGAATGGGATATACATAGTCTCAAAGTACCTCTCTTCAAAATAATTATAAAGGAAAAAAATGTCTGCGAGATCATCGCCTTAATCAAGTAATCAAAGTGAACACCAACAGTAATGGGACAAGTCAAAATTGTGTGCTAGCTGACAGGATATGATGAAAATAATGCAAAACCCCTTCTGCAATATTCCTGCTAAAGATGTATAACCTGAATCTAAGCATGAAGAACCATCAGACAAACCCAAAGTGAGGGCCATTCTTCAAAATAACTAGCCTTTGTTTTCCAAAAAAATTTTTTTTTGAGACAGAGTCTTGCTTTGTTGCCCAGGCTAGAGTGAGTGCCGTGGTGTCAGCCTAGCTCACAGCAACCTCAAACTCCTGGGCTCAAGCAATCCTTCTACCTCAGCCTCCTGAGTAGCTGGGAACTACAGGCATGTGCCACCATGCCCGGCTAATTTATATATATATATATATATGTGTTATATATATATATATGTTGGCCAATTAATTTCTTCTATTTATAGTAGAGAGGGGTCTCATCTTGCTCAAGGCTGGTTTGAACTCCTGACCTCGAGCAATCCGCCTGCTCGTTCTCCCAGAGTGCTAGGATTACAGGTGTGAGCCACCGCACCCGGCCTTCAAAATTTTTAAGGTTATAAATGTCAAAGACTAAGGAATTTTTCCATTTAAGGAGACTAAAGAGACATACCAACTAAATAAAATGTACAAATCTGGACTGGATCTTTTTGCTATAAAAGATATTGTTGAGATAATTGGTGAAACTTGAATGGAGTCTGAGGATTACATGGCCATAATTTATCAACGTTAATTTTACGATAGCTATATCAGAGTTGTGCAGAAGAAGGTGTTTGTAGGAAATACATAATAAAGTATTTGGGGATAAGGGAGTGTCATGTAAGCAATTTACTTTTTTTTTTGGGGGGGGGAGACAGAGTCTCGCTTTGTTGCCCAGGCTAGAGTGAGTGCCGTGGCGTCAGCCTAGCTCACAGCAACCTCAAACTCCTGGGCTCAAGCAATCCTGCTGCCTCAGCCTCCAGAGTAGCTGGGACTACAGGCATGCGCCACCATGCCCAGCTAATTTTTTCTGTATATATTAGTTGGCCAATTAATTTCTTTCTATTTATAGTAGAGATGGGGGTCTCGCTCTTGCTCAGGCTGGTTTTGAACTCCTGACCTCGAGCAATCCGCCTGCCTCGGCCTCCCAGAGTGCTAGGATTACAGGCATGAGCCACCGCGCCCGGCCAGCAATTTACTCTTAAAAGGTTCAGACAAAAAAAAATTCCTTGTACTGAACTTCAACTTTTCTGTATGTTTTTTTTTTTTTTTTGAGACAGAGTCTCATTCTGTTGCCTGAGCTGGAGTGCCATGGCATCAGCCTAGCTCACAGCAACCTCAAACTCCTGGGCTCAAGCGATCCTCCTGCCTCAGCCTCCCGGGCAGCTGGGACTACAGGCATGCACCACCATGCCATGCCAGCTAATTTTTATACATATGTGTGTGTGTTTTTTAGTTGTCCAGCTAATTTCTTTCTATTTTTTTTTAGTAGAGACGGGGTCTCCCTCTTGCTCAGGC